CAAATCACAAATGCTGCAGTATGTCTATAATCTGGTGCCACGTTCCCAGTATACCTCCGGCCGCGGCTCTTCCGCTGTAGGTTTGACCGCTTATGTGACCAAGGATCCGGAGACACGTCAATTGGTCTTGCAAACGTACGTAATGCGAATTCAAATATGAACTTTATTAAAAATATCTATTATATATTAGGGGCGCTCTCGTTCTGGCCGATAATGGCGTCTGTTGCATAGATGAGTTTGATAAGATGAACGATTCGACGCGCAGTGTGCTGCACGAGGTAATGGAGCAGCAGACTCTGAGCATTGCCAAAGCTGGCATCATTTGTCAGCTGAATGCACGCACTTCTATCTTGGCCGCCGCCAATCCTGCCGAGTCTCAGTGGAACAAGCGCAAAAATATCATCGACAATGTACAGTTGCCGCATACGCTGCTGTCCCGATTTGATTTGATTTTCCTGGTATTGGACCCACAAGATGAGCTCTTCGACAAGCGCTTGGCCAGCCATTTGGTATCCCTTTACTATGTAACCCGTCACGAGGAGGAGGACACCATGTTTGTAAGCCTTCAGTTTTAAGACCTCACATCTGCCAGTTTGTATTTATCCCTGTTTTTTTACAGGATATGAGCGTGTTGCGTGACTACATTGCCTATGCGCGAGAGCACCTCTCGCCCACGTTGTCGGATGAGGCACAACAGCGTCTAATTCAGGCGTACGTAGACATGCGCAAGGTGGGCGCTGGTCGTGGTCAGATTTCAGCTTATCCACGCCAACTGGAGAGCTTGATACGTTTATCGGAGGCGCACGCCAAGGTGCGGCTAAGCAATGCCGTCGAGTTGCAAGATGTTGAGGAGGCCTGGCGACTGCATCGCGAGGCATTGAAACAATCGGCAACAGATCCGTTGTCGGGTAAAATCGATGTTGGCATCCTCACCACGGGCCTGTCTACAGCAGCTCGCAAGAAACGCGCTGATCTGGTGGCTGCCATCAAAGAGAATCTTAAAAAGAAGGGTAAAGTGCCGACAGTGCCGTACCAGAAGCTATTTAAGGAGATTAAGGAAGGTTCCCAGATTGTAAGTTCTTTGTTTAAATTCTGTTTACTTTATAAATACATTAATTTCATTCTTATTTTTAGATGATTACACGCGAACAGTTTGAAGATGCCCTGAAAGAGGTGCAAGATGAGGGCGCGATAGTGGTTATGGGCAAGAACACTATACGAATTTGTTAATTTCATTGCAGCATAAAAACATTCATTCATTCATTCCTAGTTGTAAGAAAACAGTTTTTAAATAAAGTTCACAATTTCATAGTTTTTTCGATAAGTGCTGTCCGATAAGTTTTTGCCGCCGATTAATTGAATGTAAACAAAAAGACAGTGTTACCGCATTGAAGAAAGTAAAAATACCAGCGAAATTTGCGTGCACTGACAACCCTTTTTCCGATTACCTCACTCGCTCTATTGAGCGAGACAACAAGCGAACCATTAATAAGCAGGCACAATCACGGCATAACAATAAATGCTTTGTTTTTCCAAGCCCTGCTACAGGCGTAGTAAAGTTTGGATTGAACGAGCGAGTAGGAGGACTGTTGCGTCACCAGGCATAAACACCAGCGAACATCGCACTCAAACACCGCCCAAACGGTAGCCCAGGAGATCAGCTGACAACGGCGGCATTGGCAGTGGCAGTGGCAACGGCATCCCCATCGGCGCCCATTAGCTGTAGCATACGCAGCCCCAGCAGCAGTTGAAACATGGCATCCACCTCGGCCGGCACATTGGAGGGCACACTGAGCAAATGGACAAACGTGATGAAGGGCTGGCAGTATCGCTTCTTCGTTCTGGACGAGAATGCGGGCCTGCTGTCCTACTATACGGTAAGTGATCCTCACTTCTGTCTGTCATCTGACAAGTGATGGAAACTTTTTGGCGTTTATCTACTTAAATTGGAGCTGCGTTAATTGTTATCTTATCTGTCCAGTCAACGACAATTTAACCGAGTCGCTTCCCGCAATCAACGTCGCCAATTAATCAAAAAATGCGTATACACATGAGTTTGTTTGTGTGAACACATTTATACATATATACATTTATTTATTTAACGTAATTTTGCCTGAGCTGCGGCTGCGGCGGCTGCTGCTGCTTCGCTTTTTCTGCGCTGCGAGCTCTGGTAGGAGCTGCGATAGAAGTCGTAGAACCCGTAGAGCATGAGCATAATCACAAATATGAAATATATAAAGACTTTCTTGTCCACGCCGCAATTCATCGATACAAATGTGGCATGGACCATAATTAATATAAACTGTGTCATTTGTATAACTGTGATTGACTTCTTAACTGGCATCAAAGCACGCACCGTGGACTTATCCGCCACGGCGGCAGTCAGATAATACATGTACATAATAATATGCACATTGGAGTTGAGCAGGATGGGAAACAGCGCATCGCAGCCTGCAAGATGAGAAATCACATATGAATATACACTTGGCAAAACTACGGAACAGTTCACGCACCATTTTTGCGATTATGATTGATCAGCATATAGATGAGTGTTACTGTGGTTATATGATGGAACACATGCAGCTTGGTCACTTGGCTCTGTTTTTTGCGCAGCACAAATATCATTGTCTCCATGAGCTCGGACAGCTTCAGCCAAAAGAGGAAATACGCCAAGCGAAAGTGACGCTTCATACGCTCGGGCGTCTCCTCCAAGACGCTGCATCTCCAAAAGTATATGATTGTGTATTCGGTTATGTGCAATATCTGCAAAGTTATCCAAATTCCTAATACTCAAAAGAATACCAGTTTAAAGGCCATGTGTAAACCCACCTCGTAGACAACGAATATGCACGATATGACCTGCACAATATTATGAACTATGATCAGTTTCTTCAGCTCGTACGGCGCTCGAGCGTGCATATAGCTTAAAATATACAACAACAAAAAAAGTTCCAATTTGATTAAACTTAGAATTTGAGTCCCTTACGCGCGGATTAGGCGAATAGAGTACAGCTCAATTGAATTGTTAATTAACTTCTTGCCATTGTTTTTATTTCAATGTACAAAGTGTAGAGGGCGAGCTTAAATTATTCTTAAAATCGTATTAAAATTCTACATTTTATAGCTGAGAACTCGATTCAATACTACTCACCTTGGTCCCAGCTTCGTAACTAATAGCAAATATATAGCCAAGGCGCCGAGCATAAACCAAGGCGTCGACATTACCGCAGGATGATCAAAATCTTGTGCTTAAAAAAGTATATATATATAAATATATATATTTATTCATGTATAAAGTTTAATTGAGCACTTGAAGAAATAACAAGTATGCCCCAGATTCTCACTTGTTGGCGCATCCATATTTTTTTTTTTTTTTTTTTTTTGTGAAAGTTTACTCTAAGAGTCCTGCGTATTTGGCGGATTAATCCGTGCCGATTAGCCCCGAGACTGTTCACGTTGCAATGCGACCGACTTATCGCTGATATCTGGGCAATTGTCAAATGCTCGCATTGATTTTTAATCGCTTAGCTTCGTAACAAACACCATTAATTTATGCAAAATACCAAAAAAAAAAACAACAACAACTCATTTTAAACTGTGTCGTTGACCATTTCGCCTTTTTTTTTTTTTTTTTTTTTTTTTGTGTTTTGTTTTTCTTGCCTGACGTTGGCCTACGGGCACACGTCACAGACAAGACCGATGCGTTCTCAAAGTTTTTCCGCTACAAATTGCGTAGTTTTTACAATTGTTTTAATTTGTTTAAGTGTTTCTATGTTTAACATTTACAGTCCAAGGAGAAGATGATGAAAGGCGTGCGACGCGGCTGCGTTCGTCTCAAGGATGCGCTCATTGGCATCGACGATCAGGAGGATAATACATTCACCATAACTGTGGATCACAAGACCTTTCACTTTCAGGTAATTGTCATTCTGTGAAATCGTATAAATTATTGTTTGTATAAAATAATGTTCTATATAAAATTGGCGAAAAAACCGATTTCGGTCTTGTTTGTACCAAGATTTTTGCTTAGGTTTGTAAACGAGATTGGCCGGAATCGATGAGCTCCAGTTTTCTACAGGATGGGGGTAAAACACTTCTGAAAGGAACCTTTACACAGATCTTTTAGAGATGAGTTTTTATACCCAGATGGATTTTAGGGATACCCTTCTAGACATTTGCCTTACGGTATATTTTGCTTTTGCTTTAAAACTGAGAGAGTAGTTGACATAGAAACAGATAGAGGAACATACAGACATGACTGTATCAACCGATTTATAGTATATATACTTTATGGGGTCGGAGATGTCTTCTTTTATGCGTTACATAACTCATGACAAAATTATAATACCCTCTCTTTTGCTATAATAGTCTAGACATGGAATATACGTATTGCAATCGCTTTACAGGGTATCCAAATAAATGTTGATATGATTTTGAACTCTGAAGACCCACTCAGATTGACACACACCCAAACTCTCGGTCAAGTTCATTTATTTATTTTCATTGATTTCGTTTTTGGCTCTGCATTTGCACCCCGCCTTTTGCTTTGGCGCCGCTGCTCAAACTTATTGTAACGATAAAACTTATTGGCAAACCCAAACACCAAACACCGAACCTCGTAACCGCCCAACGACAGGCTCGGCACAGCGATGAGCGTGAGCAGTGGGTGCGACGTCTGGAGGACACAATAAGACGGCACGCGAATCGTTCGCGTCTGTGGGACAGTCAGAGCGCCTTCTACCTTGCCGGCGGCTACACGAAGGAGTCGAGCAGCAAACGGGCCAATCACTTGGAGCTGGTGGGGCGACGTGTCTCCGAAGCGGATGCCTATCTGCAGCTAATGATAGACCAAACCAATGTAAGTGTGCCAGTCTTTTATATGCAGCCAAACTGTTGTGTAATTGAGTTCTACTCCCAAAACAGGCGCTGGACAAACGCATCGCCGAGCTAAGCGACGCCGCGGAGCAGGCCAAGTGCAAGGCGCTGCAGGACAATGCAAGTGTGAGTTAGACGCAACATTTATTAAGCAGCCAAAGGCATAACTAAACAAACAACCTGCCACCCAGCTCAGTTAGGGCAATCTCCAGATGCAGCTCGTCGCGAAAGTTATTCGAAATGTTTTGCAACTCGCCAAAGGATAGACGCCAATGGCTGGCATCCGCTGGCATAAAGTGGCACGTGTCCTGGCTTTGAAGCACCTGGCGCACGGCCACTATGGTGCTAGCCTGTAGGGCCGCATCGCGTCCGCACAGTCTCAGTGCGGCATTCAACTGCAGCTGATCGTTTGGCGTTGCCAGCCAAATGACAAACACCTGATCCTTGGGATTGGCATGTGTGAGAATGCGGTTGCCTAGCTGCTTATCCCTCAGTGCAGAATTGGCGGCCGTCTTGCAAATGAGCACCACGACGGGCACATCGCTGGCCAGGTGGCCATGCTCCTGCGGCGATGCCAGCAACTGTTGCTCCTGCTGCTGCAGCGGAGAGCCGCTAAAGGCGAGCAGTCCAATTACATGGTTCTGCTTAAAGTGACAGCTGCGGGTATCAAAGGACAGCACGACACGCTGGTCCTCGCACAGCTTGTGGCAGCGCTGTGAGGCGACCGTCTCATTGTGATCGCAGAGGTAGTGCAGCAATAGCAGCTGGCTATCAACGCGTCGGCGGCAATGCTCAAACACACACGGGCTCGAGCCGCAGCTGATAATCAGCCTGCCATCCGACTCCTCCTCCAACTCTGTTCGCTCCAGCTTGGCAGCTTTGGCGTCGGCCTCGAACTGCTCGCCATCCTCGATGGCATCCGCATCGTGCCAACCAATCAGTTCCGACTGTCGTATCTGCAGAATTGTCATTTCTGTGCGCAACTCTTCTAAATCCGCACGTAGATCCTGCAGCTGCTTTTCCATGAGTAACTTATCTTCCTGGGCGTCTTTCGCATTAAACAATTGTGCACAACGCATCTTGTATCGCTCGAACTGGTCACGTAGCTCGTCTATGCTATGCTCCATGGGATCAAGCAGCTCCTCAGCCATATTTAGCCAGAATAATTTCCCCTTTTTTTGTGTGTGTGTGTGAACAATGTGAAATGCTTTACAATTAGTTTATAACATTTTTTTTTTTTTTGTTGTTTTGGAATTTTTAGTCACAGTTTTGGCAGGCGAGCAGATGAAATATTGATTTGCAATGCAAGTTCAGGGTTAGAGCCTTAGCTGGGCCCAGCCGGGTGTATTATTAGATATGCATGAGGTGGTTGTATGGGAAATTTTGCGAGCTCGCGCCAGCTGCAGTCGCAACCCAGCTGTTCATTTCTTTGGCAAACTTCGAGGCAAACTGTTTTTGCGGAACAAAAATAATAAACAGGCAGCCGGAAAGGCGGTGCAGTCCATCCGACATGGTTATTTAATCGAGGTCTTGACACCTTTTCGCCTTGGCTTTTTATTTCTTCTCTAATTTGATTTGTTTTGATGCTCTGCATTTGCAGGCCATGTTGGATCATATCAAACACTCGATTGTTAGTCTACAAATTGCCAAAAATATGGCACACCCCATCAATGGCATTTACAATGGCCCCACCACTACGCTGACAACAACAACAACAACGTCTGGCATGTTGATGGCAGCGGCAACGGGACCGGCGGCCATGGGTCGCAGTGGCGGCGGCAGCAGCAGCAGCAGCAGCGGGGGCAGCGGCAAGGCGAACGACGCTCTCAAGAGCGAATTGGCGGGCGACGATGAGGATGATTCAGCAACGGAAAACGGTAAATGTCATCCAACTGTAAAATACATTCTGACGGTCACATTTTCGCTGCATGTTTCTTTAGATTTGAGTGTTTGATTTACACTTAGAGCGGGTATCTTGAATTAGTGCAGGGATTTGCAATGGCATAATCTGCATGTGCTTTTATTATCTTATCTCTTTGTTTCTGCATGGATAACTATTTGAGAAGCAGTTTATCTGTAAGCAGTTTATGAAAAATATTTTAGTTACTAGAAGCTTTGTCATATTTATTTCCGATGAATTATTTATTTTTTTATTGAACAGGATAGATGGAAAAGATCCACTAGACTGTTATTTACATTCATTTTATAATTTTTATAACAGCTTCAAGCTTTTTCCGGAGCTCATATAAATAATTTTCTAAAACATTTTTCATTTTAAATTTGACTGGTAATTAACGTAAACATTTTTATTGTCCAATACTGAGCAATATTTTCCATAGGGTATTAAAACTTCTGTATGCCGCTGCAAGCATTTTATGCACATTATGTATGTAGTGCTGGTGAACCAAATATGCCATTACATGCATTCAGGGTCGCACACATACGTATGTGTGTATGTATGTTGGGTGCATATGTATGGCCCCAGTGGCTTGTTAATGAGTTGCTAATCGATGAATTGGCAATTGAAACTTGCGTAAAATGCAATTGCTTGATATATGTATGCATGTGTTCGTTTCATTACAGCCACCACTGCGCCATTAGGTCTGGTCGTACCCGAAACCTCTTATTCAAGCAGCGAAGGTGAAGAAGACTTTTATGATGCCTACGATGATCCGTTTACCAGTGTGGGTAGCTCACCAATTGGATGGTAAGTGTGCACAGATAAACAACAGTTATCTGCCAGCGTTGCCATGTGAACGGATGCCGGCTACAAAAATGCGTACAACCGCAAAGTATGTACTGTATATACATACATACATGTTTGCTTGCATATGTATATATAGGTGCCTCTCTTAAAATTGTATTCAGAGGGCGCATGCTCAATGCAAATTGCAGCACAGGTATCCGAAACACATACATTTGCGTGCATAGTGCTTAAGTTGGTCAGTCGCCTGTAAATAATTTATGCAATTTTGCAAGCTGCAACGTCAGCCGATTTGGCAACGCCAACACGTCACAGCTGACAAGCAGTTGTTGTCGTCCTTTGCCCAGGCCTCCGGGGTACATCGTGCAATTTACGATTTCGTCCTGTCAGTTTGTAGTTGCGTTCGTCGCTGACCGTCGACTGTTGACTGTGCGCCATTCTTCAATTTAGTTCCTTCTTTCAAATGGCGATTTGCTCATAGTATCCACTTTGATTTATGTTTCTGTGTGTGTATGCAATTGTGTTTCCTTGGTTTTTGTGTGTGTGTGTATGTGGTGTGTATGTATAAGCTGTTTGCTTTGTTGCGCACAGCTGGCGCCGCAATGTAGGCAAAACAAAAGTTTGCAATCGCCATTTTAAAGACTCGTATGCAGCTTAAACTGCATTCGCATCCACATCCGACAGCATCGCTAGTGTTGCCATGTTTAAGAAGTGGGTACGTCGCGTTAGCCTAAGGTAAGCACCTCTTGCAAATGTGTTCGTGTGTAAGTGTGTGCGTGTGTGTCCGTTTTATAAATTGTAATTGAGCCAAGGCACGTTGAGAGCCGCGTGCGTGTGCCAAGGCTGACATCATTTAAAGATTTAAATTCTACATACATCCAGATCCAGGTCATTTGGCGTACAGAATATTAATCAACAAGTTTGGAATTCATTTGCAGCGCCACGCGCGGCTTTGCAGAGACATCGCCCACGCACGAAAAGCCGCAGGACAGTTATGTTGGCGCCGGCGATTTGGCCGGAGCCACAGCAGCAAAACCAACTACCACAACTATAACAACAACAACAACTGTTGGGCATTCGAAGTTGCCGGAAATCGATGAGACTGGGTCGAGCAAAGTGCCAAGCTCTCGCTCGTCTAGCTATGACAATGGCATCGATTATGATGCACTATACGAAGAGGAGGAGGAGATGGATCTCAGCATGGAAGCGCACGGTTCAATGATAACGCATCTCTTGTCGCAGGTGAAGATCGGCATGGATCTCACCAAGGTGGTGCTGCCCACGTTCATCTTGGAGCGCCGCTCTTTGCTCGAAATGTATGCCGATTACTTTGCCCATCCCGATTTGTTTCTCAAGTAAGTTGGCTCTATATTTCATAAAAGAAAATAATTATCTTAAAGAAAAATTATTTCCAGAATCTCGGAGCTGGATGACCCACGCGATCGCATTGTGCAGGTTTGCCGTTGGTATATGAGCGCTTATCATGCGGGTCGTAAGAGCGCGGTGGCCAAAAAGCCTTACAATCCCATACTGGGCGAAGTATTTCAGTGCCACTGGGATATTCCAGGTAGCACCATAGCAATAAGCTGACCCAATTCGTTGTTTATAATTTGTTTTCTATGCTGCAGGTGAAACCCAAGATGAAAAGGAGGTGCGTGACGGTCCTGTACCCTGGTGCCGGCGGGATCAGCTAACATTTTTAGCAGAGCAAGTGTCGCATCATCCGCCAAGTGGGTTAACTCTCGCCACGAATCCGTAAGCATCAATTGATCGGCATTTTTGCTTTACAGTTTCAGCCTTTTATGCAGAGCATTACAATAAGAAAATAACATTTACTGCTCATGTCTGGACGAAATCGAAATTCCTGGGCTTATCCATTGGCGTGCACAACATTGGCGAGGGTGTCGTTACCCTGGTGGACCGCAGCGAGGAGTACATTGTTACGTTTCCAAACGGTTATGGCAGGTATGTAATAATTAAAAATATTATTAATAACATTAATGAAATGCTTGCGCTTTTTTCAAGGTCTATTTTAACGGTGCCTTGGATTGAGCTGGGCGGCTCAGTCGAAATCAAATGCCCACAGACCGGCTACTATGCCAACGTGGAGTTTCTCACAAAGCCTTTTTATGGCGGCAAGCGCAACAAAGTCAGCGCCGAGGTGCGTTAAAAAAAGATATATATATATAATTTCCCAAATATATAATGCGTTATATAACTCTACTTAGATCTATTCGCCCAATGATAAGAAGCCTTTTGTTTCGATTGCCGGCGAGTGGAGCGGACTAATGGAGGCCAAGTGGCATGATAAGAACGTAAGTTGCATGTTGGCAACCTAAGTTATAATACTTGTGTGTAGAGTTGTATATTTAACAATTTTTGCTAATGTACTTGTTAAAGTTAAAACCCTTTTTGGCTATCCTTTTCTGTAAACGCCTTATACGCTGCCTCGAACAACACTACGAGCTGGCAGCCACATCTAACTATCTTTCCAACTTTCAACCTATCCACCTATTTACCTACCTATCTTTAACCTGCTCCAGTTTACTTTTAGCGATACTTGTACTTTTCTCTTAAATAATTTGGGAACACATTTCTCTGTGTGTGCTTACTTTGTTTATCTAGAAAATTAAACCTGAACCCAAAACAAAACCAAAACCAATACTAAACTGCCTGCCCACGTTTTGAACTCCCACTACATCATATTGTTGTGTAGATGTTGTGACTCTCTGTGTTTTTGTTTCCTCATATGCTGACTACCCACGTGAATCTCTAATTTTCTAGAAAACCGAAGTATTCGTCGACGTAAATCGCATACCCATATTTAAGAAACAAGTTCGACCAATCGTTGAGCAGGATGAATATGAATCGCGGCGTGTTTGGAAGGAAGTGACTGCGGGACTCAAGTAAAATTCTTATTTTGCATAACTAACTAGCTGCATTTATTTATTTAGAAATTAAACTTACATTTAAATAATATATTAAACTCCATCCTAAATAGATTTAATGACATTGAGCGCGCCACAAATGCCAAATTTGTTGTGGAGCAGCAGCAGCGTGATCAGGCCAAGGTTCGCAAGGAATACGACTTAGCTTGGGAGCATAAGGTATGCTAGATTTATGCTGTTTGGGGTAAAATATTATAAATTTATAAACTTAATTTTACTCAAAGCACTTTAAACCGGTCGGCGATAATTGGATATATACAAAGCCGCTGAGTCAGCGCATGTATTTGCAGGAAAAGGAGGCCAAAAGATAATGCATGAATTGGCAGCGAGAAGAAACGCCAACACCAATGTTTTTCGTCATATATATCTATATTTCCATGTAAAGATATATGTGATTCATATCAAGAATGAGAAGCCTCAATAATTGTATAATATCCTGAAGTGCGCAAACCCCAGACACAAACACTGACGACGATACAACGTAACATATGCAGGAAACTTAATGTTTTACAGTATAATGAATAATGAGATATGAGATAAGCGATAAGGAAACATCTAGTGTCCGTTTAATAATTGTAAATAGTTATACACATAACACACATAACAAACAGAAAAGCAAACGCCAAGTTTAAGTAGACAGTTAAAAGCAGCAATAGTTGAACGAAACAACGTAAGCACCTAAAGAAACAATGGTTGAAATTTAATAAATCTAATATAAACTGCAATAAATAATAATATAGAGAGCAAACAATTTAATATATAGTCTCTACGCAACATACTCGTATAAAGCAACATATTATTAATTACATATGTACTAGCGTGTTTCAAAGGCAATCGCAGTAAACTGCAAAACAGAGAACACCTAAAAGAATACCTTTTACGATATGAAAACACATTATGCGATATGTAATACGAAAGTTGTAGATTACAGAAAAATGTTAGAGATTTAAGCATAGAAATTCTATTTTTTAAATAAAAGACTCTAATAGATGAAATACAATACAAATGATATCTAATAGATACAAATACTATTAACAATTAATTCCTGTTTTCAAAAGTTTAGGCAACAGCACAATTGATTTTGTCAAATAAAACAAATAACGTTAACTTTAGTATTATATATTTTATTAAATTCCATTGTCACAATAATAAAGAAGAAAGCTTTACTTACAAACCCGCAGCTAAAACTCCAACGAAATGTCTGCAAAAGGCAAAAAAATCAATTTATAGTATTCAAATATAGTTAGCATATAATTTAATTGGCATTTGCCAACATTTCAACTACCGCACAGCAAAGCTATATTTTGTTCTTTGTAAACTACCGAATACTCTCACGCAAAGTTAACGCAAAATGAAACGAATAAAGAATATTACGCTTTTAATATTGTTAAAAATAATCAAATATACACAAATATACAGACAGCCACATATGAATAAAAAAGATGAAAGCAATACTGAAATGCCTACATACAAATATTTTAACGAATTTCTTCCTAGAAGTTATACAAAAATAAAACACACTACCCACATAAAATATAAATCAGCCATTATACTATTATTACAAAATAAACATTGTTAGTGCAAATAAATATCATACGTTCAGGTTTTGAAAGTTTGTGAGTTACGCGCCAAGGAGTTCGTTCATTTGAACCTGATTTGTGAACAGTGGCAACGCTGCAGTTTGACATTTAGTAGTGGTGCCAGCTTATTTCACAAATTGACGTGGCTCTAAATTTTAGTGTTTAGGTGTATTTAGAGGCTGAAATTGCAATGCAAAAAGTTTTGCACGCAATTGGTCCATTAAATTAAACGGTGAATCGGTGCTGGAACAGTGTTTAAATAAATTCAACAAGTACGCACCAAATACATACGCGAAAACGCGAAAATCGCTCACTGATTAACAGAGAGCGAGAGTGATTGTGTGTGCGATAGAGGCCGAAGCCCGCAAGGCAGCGCCGTTGTTCATTGTCAGCAAAAAAAAAAAAAAGAAGAGAAAAATAGAAATTTCGTTTGTTGCGTGCCAATTGCAAAGGAATTATTAATACAAAACGCCCCATTGCAACTGGAACTGCAACTGCAACCACAATAGAAGAATAATACACACAGCATTGGGCGAAAACGCAGTGAAAAGTGTGTGCATGCTACAGAAGTCAATTAACGAGCGCAGGGCAAGAAGAAGAGCCAACTACAAAGTGCAAGTGCTGGTCAAGTACACACATACACACACAAACATACGTTCCAACGCCCTTTTTCCAGCGATCCCATTAGTTTGGCAACATTGACAAGAAAGGTAAGCTTAAAAAAAGGAAAATGCCCTTACACTCCGTTCACTGCCCGGCAACGACGACGACGACGACGACGACGTCATCATCAACGTTTGCTGATAGAATAATTTGCTCTGTACTATGCCAGCAAATAGTAGTTAGTCTTATCACATGGCCAATTACGGTTGATAAAACGCAACAAATATTTAACAGCTTTGTTAGAGCGCATAATTAGCAGCAGCAGCAGCAGCAACTGATCGGCAGGAAGCACCAGTAGCAGTAAAGGCATACAAAGCTTAAGCTCACTTTCAATGTCGCATTCCCAGTTCAATAAACGCTTTATCAAGTCCACCGACTTTATAAAGCCAAATCTGCGTCGCTTTTGTTCGCTTTCGCAGTGTGTAAATTGAATACCACGTAGCTTGATACATTCTTCCAGTGAAAAACGAAAAGTTATCTTTGGGTAGCTGCATTTTAAATACCCTACCTTACAGACTGTATATAATAACTATATATATATATATATCAGTAGCTAGGCTGTTTGCATACAATTTGCTTAGTTTTGGAAAACAGTGTTGCCAACTTTTGGAGAAGTAAAAATTCGAATTTCTAAGTGTTGGAAAGTTACTTTTTCGATCGAATGAAATCTATAATTTATAATAATTAATATTATTCACTTTAGTAATCGCTTCTGTGCGGTTAGTTAAATTAACAAATGCCGAAACAGCTCAAAAGTAACAGCTAGAAAAGATTCTTGCCCTGTAATAGGGCATAAACTCCATAAAAAAGCGAACAAGAAGTTCAAGAAAAATTCGTTACGCAAAGTGCAATGCAAATGGCAATTGCTGTCAGCTTTTGTTGTGAATTAAAAATTCAAGTTGTTCCCGCTTTGTTTTTGGGTGTTAGCGGATTATTGTTGTTATTGATTTAGGCTATATATGTATTATTCAAATGAATTGTGCCGGAAAATAATGGTGCCAAAGCAAAGTGCCAGCCAGCTAAATAAATAAAGTTTTGTATCTATTATATTTAACAAATATACTAAATATGTTAAATCTAGTTCATATAGCGTCTGTTCTTGTTGTTGTTGTTGTTGTTGTTGTTGTTATCTGAGCACGTTTGGCAGCGATTATGCAAAGAGCTGAGTCAACTAGTTCTGGTTTTATAAAGGTTCTGCCATTGAGACGATAAGATAAGGCAACAACAATAGTTTCCCCAGCTGCGGCCTTCACGTACAGACCCAACACGTCAAATTAGACAACTGCGTGCGGCAATCAATTTAAGATATTCCATACATTTATCAGACATGGGCATGGTATTCCGGAATTGGATTTAAAATCTATTTTGCCATCCATATTTCGTAGAGATTTCCATACCAAAAGCATCTTATTCAGCCACATCTAATGAAACGGAGGCAAATAAGTTACCAGTTGCCAATAAGCAAGAACAATTGTTATTTTCAACTATTTACTTACTTACTCTTCTCCCTCCTTCTATCTTTTCAGCTGCATTCCATGAATTGAATTGTGCCCAACGCAGAATGTCAGCATACAATACAAATTTTGTGCCACCCGCGCCAAATGGCAGTTCCGGCAGCTTGGTTAATGGTCAGCCGCAGCAGCAACAACAGCAACAACAGCTCCAGCAGCAGCAGCAGCAGCAGATTTACCTGCAACAGCAGCCGTCGCAGCAGCAAAAGCCCGTTGCACCGCAGAAGCCAGCCCATCATTTCCCTCAACAGCCAACGCAGTATCCCATAAATGCCACGCCCACTGGCTCTGCATTGCTGCCACCTCAATTCAATAACAATGCGAAGAACAAATTTCTGCCGCCAGCCATGAGCAATGTTCCAGCGCCGACGGCACCGCTCACCAATCTGCCCGTGCATCTGCGTCCGCCCACGCTGAACGGACCCACAACAGCCGCCGCGCCAGTTGCGCCCATTACCAATGGCAGCAATGGTGCACTGAGCGCCAACTCATCGCGCACCGCATCGCCTGGTCTGGTCAGTGGCAATGCCAGCTTGGTCTCGGCGGAGGCGGCTGCACCACCAAAAGTAACGCCATCCAAGCAGCAGTTTATGGCGGGTCCGTTGGGCAACTCAATGCAATCGCTGCAGCAGCAGCAGCAGCAGCAGCAGCAGCAGCAGTCGAAGGGCGTCTCGAGCACTTCGATGCCGCCGGCTCAGCAGTCATTCACTGGCCAACTGGGACCTACGTTGGGCGACTCAATGCCGCCGTCTGCCGGTAACTTGGGCGCCTCAATGCCGTCGCAACAACTGACGATCAGCCAGTTGGGTTCCACGTTGTCGCCACCTCAACAACCGGCCAGTCAATCGGGCAGCGCATTGGGCGCCTCGATGCCGCCGTCTGCCAGCAACTTGGGCTCCACATTGGGCGCCTCGACGCCGTCGCAACAACCAACGATGAGTCAGACGGGCTCCACATCATCACCACCGGCCAGTCAGTCGGGCTATGGATTGGGCGCCTCAATGCCGCCGTCTGCCAGCAATTTGGGCTCCACATTGGGAGCCTCAAGGACGACGCAACAACCAACAATGAGTCAGTCGGGCTCCACGTCTTCACCAGTGGCCAGTCAGTCGGGCTATGGATTGGGCGCCTCAATGCCGCCGTCTGCCAGCAACTTGGGCTCCACATTGGGCACCCCATTACCGTCGCAACAACTAACGATGAGTCAGTCGGGTTCTACACAACAGCCAGCGGCGAGTCAGTCGGGCGCCTCAATGCCGCCCCAACAGCTAGCGATCAGCCAGTCGTGTCCCACGTTGCCGCCACCTCAACAGCCGGCCAGTCAGTCGGGCGCCTCATTGCCGTCCCAGCAGGCGCAACCACCCGTCAGCCAGGTCTCCAGTATGGCTAGCCAAATGCAGAACATGAATTTGAATCCCAGTAATGGACCTAGTCCGGCCGCGTCTTTTGCGCGTAAGGATTACCGTGGCGTGGCAACGGGCCTGGCTGGGCCCGTGCCGAAATTGGACACCAGCGGCGCCAATACATTGCTGGCATCGAGTGGACTGGCGCCCAGCCTGCCCAATCCCATGGCTGTGCCGTTCAATGCCACCGTGCCCCGCAACGGGAGTCCAGCGAACGTGTATGGCGCCGTTTCGGCAGCACCCAAGATGGTGCCAAGGCCAATGCCGCCCACCGGACAGAAACTGGCATACGGCATACCTGCGCCAGTGCCGGGAGCGCCAGTGCCGGCAGCACCTGCACCAGCTGTCGCGGAGCAGAACAACAATACGCAAAGTGCCGCTGCGCTGCCAACAGCGCAACGGCCACCGATGTGGCAGCCGTTGGCTGGTGCTATGCCCGCCATGCCGACTGCACTGCAAAAGCCGCAGGCTTTTGTGCCGCCGCCGCTGCCGTCAAATCAGCGTATGGCATCGCAGGTGCAGCTGCCGCCCTTTGGACCGCCAACAACCATGGAGCAGCAGCAGAAGCAACAGCAGCAACAGCAGCCGCAGCAGCAACAGCAGCCGCAGCAGCAACAGCAGCCACAGCAGCAACAGCAGCCACAGCTACAGCAGCAACTGCAGCAGAATCCACAGCAGCAACATCCTCCACAGCAGCAACATCTGCAACAGCAGCAGCATCCTCCACAACAGCCGCATCTGCAACAGCAGCAACATTTGCAACAACAGCAGCAGCTCCACCAGCATCAGCAGCAAATGCCACAGCAACATCCTCCACAGCAGCAGCAGCATCTGCAACAGCAGCAACAGATCCCGCAGCAGCAACAGCTTCCCCATCCACAGCAATATCCGTATAAGCAAGCGTTTCCACAGGCGATGCAACCGCTGCCACAGCAGCAGCAGCAACAACAGCAGTTAAGTGCACCCGGAATGTTTGGCGTGCAGCCGGGCAGTGCGCCGTTACAGTATCAGGCGCAGGGCGTGGCGCAGCAACCGCTGAGTGTGACGCAGCAGGGTTTCAGTCGTCTGTGGGGCCAGGATACCGTTGATCTGATGCAGAACCGGCATATACTGTCGCCGGCAACGATTGCGCCGCCGAAGGTTGTGCTGCACAATCAGTTCCACGAGTCTATCAACTGCAATCCGAGCATTATGCGCTGCACGCTGGCCAAAATCCCGGAGAGCAATTCGCTGCTGCAAAAGTCGCGTCTGCCGCTCGGCATAGTCATTCATCCGTTTCGCGATGTCAACGTAAGTGCTTGAAATCTCTTCAAATTAACAAATTGTTAACGATTAGCTGTTTCCACAGAGCCTGCCCGTGATACAGTGCGTCAATATCGTGCGCTGCCGCCTGTGCCGCACCTATATTAATCCGTTTGTCTACTTTGTGGACAGCAAAATGTGGAAATGCAATCTCTGCTATCGCGTCAATGAGTGTAAGTTGAGCCAAGCTTATGAGTAGATTCCCATTGATTAATGTACTCCAATGCGCAGTGCCCGAGGACTTCCAGTTCGATCCGGCTACGAAGACCTATGGCGATGTGACACGACGACCCGAGGTGCGCTCCAGCACCATCGAGTTCATAGCGCCGTCAGAGTACATGCTGCGTCCACCGCAGCCGGCCATGTATCTGTTTCTGTTCGATGTGTCGATAATAGCGCAACAGAGCGGCTATCTGGAGTCAGCCTGTTCGGTGCTCAATCGCCATTTGGACGAGATGCCGGGTGATGCGCGCACCCAAGTGGGTTTTATATGCTACGATAGCTTTGTGCACTTCTACAGCATGGCCGAGGGTCTAAATCAGCCGCACGAGATGACCTTGCTGGATATTGACGATCCCTTCTTGCCGCGCCCAGACAGTTTGTTGGTTAATCTCAAGGAGTGCAAGGAACTGGTAAGGGATCTGCTCAAGCAGTTGCCCAAACGATTTGCGCACACCCATGATCCGGGCTCGGCCCTGGGTGCGGCCTTGCAGGTGGCCTTTAAGCTGATGGTGAGCGCTCGGCGGCAATATAATTGAAGCATCTAATTTATATAATTCTTATTACACGTACACAGCAAGCATCTGGCGGACGTATAACCGTATTTCAATCGTGCCTTCCCAACAAGGGACCCGGGGCGCTGGAAGCGCGAGAAGATCCCAACAATCGCTCGGCCAAAGATGTGGCCCATCTGAATCCTGCGACGGATTTCTACAAGCGTTTCGCTCTGGAGTGCTCCGGCTATCAGATTGCAGTCGATCTGTTTCTGATGAATCAACAGTATAGCGACATGGCCACCATATGTAAGTCTCTACCCAGGGAGGAAATATAGATGTGAACTAATCCTTTGTCATGTTGCGCAGCCGGCGTTAGTAAACACAGCGGTGGTTGTGTGCACCACTTTCCGCTCTACCAGAGGACCAAACAGCATATGGTGGAATCGTTTAAGCAGTGCTTCAAGCGCTATCTCACCCGCAAGATCGGCTTTGAGGCGGTGATGCGTATACGCTGCACACGTGGCTTGCAGGTGCACACATTCCATGGCAACTTCTTTGTGCGCAGCACGGATCTATTGTCGCTGCCCAATGTCAATCCGGATGCCGGCTATGGCATGCAGATATCATACGAGGAGAGCCTCACCGATGTCAAGACCATTTGCTTCCAAGCGGCGCTGCTCTATACGAACAGCGAGGGCGAACGACGCATACGTGTCCATACTGTGTGCCTGCCGGTGACCTCGTCCCTGCCTGAGGTAATGCATGCCGCCGACACAGAAGCCATTGTCGGCCTGCTCTCCAAAATGGCAGTGGATCGTTCGACAGCATCGAATCTATCGGATGCACGGGACGCCTTCATCAATGCGACCATCGACGTGTTCAATGCATTTAAGATTGCACAAAATCTGCCCTCCGGCCAGAGTGGCCAACTGATAGCACCACGAAGCCTGGCCCTGCTGCCCCTCTACATTTTGGCACTGCTCAAGCATGTGAGTGCCAACCCATAATTCTCATAATTGGTGTATCTAATTGTTGCTCTTTTGTCCCGTAGCCCGCTTTTCGCGTGGGCACCAGCACGCGCCTGGATGATCGCGTCTTCGCAATGGACAACATGAAAACGATGCCACTGGATCAGCTCATGAAGTACATCTATCCCGAGCTGTACAAAATCGATGCACTCGTCTACCATGTGCGCCACACCAATGTGAGCACAACGCAGGATGACGACGACGATGATGATGAACTGCTGCCAGAAATGCAACGCCTGCAACTATCTGCGGAGCAGTAAGTTTTTAACCCCATCCCTAGATATCGATTGAGCTCTCGCTAATGGCTCCAATTTCTTGTAGCCTGGACTCGCGTTCAATATTTGTGATGGACTGCGGCACGCTGATTATGATCTATGTCGGCATTAATGTGCCCACCGATGTGCTGCAAGCTTTGCTGGGTAAATTAATTTCAATGATTGTGCCAATTATCTTCGATATTAACGCAACTCATCTGCAGGCATTAGCTCGACCTCTGAACTGGCCGATTATGTGTACGGTTTGCCCAACGTGGTCAGCGCCGAGAACGATGCGCTCAAGCGTTTTATACAGCGTCTGAACTACGACAAGCCCTACGCGCCGCTAGTGCAAATTATCAGGTGAGTGCCAATGTAGTTCCTGTCAAATCAAATGCTTATTTTAATTGCTTCTTGCAGGGATACGAGCACTGCGAAGGCGCAGTTTATTGAGAGATTAACGGACGATCGCAGTGAATCTAGTTTGTCATATTATGAATTTTTGCAACACATTCGGGCTCAGGTTAAATAGTACATAAGTCGAAAATCCTACTACTATTGTATGCAACATAATTACGAGTTTATCCGAACTTAAAAAGAAAAACTAAACAAAAAAGTAAATTTAACAAAAACTCTGCTGACTAAAAGGTAGACAGACAAGCCGGGCCAGGCAGGAGGAGTTGCTGCAGCCAGCTCTGATTCACATTAGATACGCATCATATGTTCATAAAATCCCCCACCACCACCACCACAACCAGCACCCCCTCCCCACTCCACGAAACAAAGATATGTAAAACTAAGTGCATAAGACAAGTAAATGAATGAGAATGTTTAATATAATAGAACTAAGTAACAGCTAGAGCTGCACATTGCGAAGATCGTAGCTCGTTCTAAAAAGAAAGAGAAAAGAGAGAAAAGAAAAACATAGTTGTCCTCCTTGATATAGATAATTAAAAAAAAAAAGTGCATATATTTATTTATTTGTTGATTTGTTGCACTAAAAATAAAAAAGAAGCAAAACAACTTACAAAATAATTACAAAAACAATAAACAATGAAAGGCAAAAAGCTGTCACAATTTTTTTTTTGTTAGTCCTCATAGCCTGCAAATACTTGTAAGAAGAGTGAAGAGCAAAGTTATTTATTATAGCAATAAACCCAAATTGTATATTGTTTTTAGTCACACAAGTGCTTTGCGTTTCTAAAAAACAAAGCCTTTAATTATTATATATAAAATCATATTATTTTTTTTTTCTGCGATTAATTCAATTTGTTTTCCTATTTATAATATTTAATTGCTTGCTTGTTATTGCTTTGCTTTTTTGTCTTTGCTTCAGCTGTTTTCCGTAGTATTTATTTTCCAAATAATAATTTTATATAGTCTAATCTATAAGGTATTGGATTGACAAATCGATGGTATGCAGTTAGTTCGTTCTAAAGTATGTAGTTAGCCAACTTATTTCAATGTTTGTATTGGGAACAGTAGGTATATATATATATAGTTGGTATTGTTTGATAATGCATGGACTGCTTAAGGAGCGTTTGTCTTAAGCTTAAAAACAAACATATATTATACATAATAATGCAAGTAAATAATTGAAAAACACACTTAGGTAATTCAAGGTGACACACACACACACACAAGCAAAGTAGTTGCAGGTAATAACTTTTATACGATTCAAGGAATTGCGAATATTCAATTTATTTCATTGAAATTCATTAACTCCGCGCGAAATTAAATAAACGTATGTTGTACTATAAACTATAAATCATATATAATATAAATAGAAAGCAAAAATAAAATTTTAAATAAAGCAAATAATTTGTATGTCCAAATACTATTAACAATTACCCGGCTCTGCCCGGATCAAGTTTTTGTTCTATTCTACAGCGACTGAATTAGTCATAAAATGCATATCTCTTCAAAATCCGAATTTATTTACTCGAGATATTGTCTGTATGTATTAATGTATGTATGTATTTGTGTGTATGTGTGTACGTCTGTGTATGTGCGTATATATGTATGTAACATATGTATGCATGTATATTGTCGCATAAAATACCAATAGCACAACAATTTGTCTTGTTGCGCGGCAAATTTAAATAAAAAAAACGTTTTTGTTGAAGCTGCTCTCCTCCTCGATTCTCAAAAATTTAAGTAAGGGTCGCAGATTTCACCCAGAAGTTAGGCGCAGGCGGCTTCAACGCTGGAAGCTGAGGAGCCGGAGGAGCACCAAGGGGGCGGAGCAGGTATGTAGGTATGTAGGTATGTAGGTATGTAGGTATGTAGGTATGTATGTATGTATGTATGTATGTATGTATGTGTGTATGTATGTATGTATGTATGTATGTAGGAATGTATGTATGTATGTATGTATGTATGTATGTATGTATGTATGTATGTGTGTATGTTTGTATGTATGCATGCATGTATGCATGTATGTATGCATGCATGTATGTATGCATGTATGTATGTATGTGTGTATGTATGTATGTATGCATGCATATATGTATGTATGTATGTATATATATATATATATATATATATCTATATATATATATATATGTATGTGTGTATGTATATATGTATGCATGTATGTATACTTGTGTTTATTTTCGCATGAATTTTGACCGAGAATATGATTGGCAGGCCTTTTCCGTGGCATGTTTCAAATAAATTTTCTCGAAGATTGTAAACCGATCGGACGGTAATGAGAAAACTTTCGTACAACCGTTTTCCGCCAATTTACCACTGTTGCGGGTGAAATTTCCCAAATTCCCCGCAACATGTGTTTATTATGTTTTTAAGTAGAACTTTGTTTGAAGCAGATTGAATCAGATAAGGTAACTCTAGTGGACTGTGCCTTGATCACCAATCAGCCAGTCAGCCAGGACAAACAGTTTTATACATAGAGATAAAGTTAGATATTCGCATGATGAAAGAAAATCCCAAATATGCATGTTTTTGTGCGAATGAAATTTATTACTCATTGAGATGTTGATACATAGGCATCGCAGTCTAACCAAAGATTTCTACAAAAAAAAAGAAAAAGTATTTACAATGAAGTTGGAAAACTTGTAATCAAGACTTACGGATTGAAGAAGGGCGACCTTGGTGGATATTTTTGTTTTGCAGGTGGATTGAGAAACACAACTGTCATCTGTTGCGGCTGTGCAGGAGGAGCCTGGCCAAACGTCTGCCCCACATTGTGCGCCAATTGTATGTGTCTCTCCAGGAAATCGAGGCTCAGGTAGACATTATTGCACTTTTCACATTGAAATCGATTTCGAGTTTCGATATCCTTTTTAATCAGGTGTGCCGCATGGAAACGTTCCTGGTGCTTATGCAACTCCTGTTCGGAGCGTAAGCTTCGGCCGCAAACATCGCATTCGAAGAATTTTGTAGTTGTATTTGCGGGACATTCCGCGAAATGAGTCAGAAAGTGTTGCTGCAGCTCATCAATGTCCGTGAACAGCTGCTGGCAGAGGAAACAGTTGATGCCACCCTCCTCCAGCTCCACATTGGGACAGTCGTCATATTCGCTCTCTTCCATTTGGGCAGCTGCTCTCTTATACATTAATTGATTTCGTGCTTCGATAGGAATTTGATCAGTTGACAGCGATGACAATTGGTTCAGCATATCTCTCAGCTGCAAAAGGTCAGTGTTGTTAATTTCTTAATTACTTATACTAAACGTAGAGATCGAACTCTTATAACTCTTATACATACATACATACATGCAAGTTAAACGCCATACTGCTGCCAAGGTTACGCTGAAGCCCCAAAATGTTTGTGTGCAAATATTATATATTCTATTTGACTCAGTATGTGTATATAACTGTATACAAGTCTAAATAGTTGTTTCCTCTGGGATTATTGTATTGCGGCGTTGTTTAAGGTTTTAATTGTTTTTTTCCTTTCTTTGCATCCGTTTCTCTTTCCTAGCTCCGTCTCTGTCGAGCATAAAAATACAACTGCGAGCGGCGCAAAGCCGAACTGCGTTTCAATGCGATAGTAAGATCCTAAGGGTGTGTGTCTGTTGTGTGTGGGTGTGAGTGTGTATGCATGTGCATGTGTGTACAACACTAAAGGCAAAAGAATACGACGGTTAAAGTCAAAACAAAAAACAAAAAACAAATATCGTTTTGGCTCTTATCTATGCTACGAACAGTGGTGTGTACAGTATGTACTTATGTATAACTGTATAATTTAGCATAACCGTATTTACATACGCATGTATGTGTGTACTTATGTATGCATTGCGACATGCTTAAAACTCGTCTCATAATTATTTTACCGCAATTTTTTGAAAGTCTCATATTTTTCATGACGAAAAAACTATTAAAAAAAAAACGGTAAATCATAGAAATATGTATGTATGTAAACAAATTTGTGTACTTTTGGTTCCTATGTTCGTAACCCGAGCTAAGAGAGTCTTTGAAGAGCTGAGCTCACTTATGACTCGCCTTGTTGGTAAAATTTCTTCTTTCGCTAAGAACTAATTTCAAATGAAGCCTCATTTGTTGAATTTAAAACCTCACTTAAAATTTATTTCCTAAAATTCAAGTCTACTTTAAGATTCCCTCGATAAAGTCTAACTGATTAAGGATTATCTAAAGAAAATCGTAGTTTCCACTCCAATTAACATTAATCTTATCACTAAGTACAAATTCGAGCAAATCTGAGAAACGATTTGGCAATGAAACCAGCAAATCGTCCAAATATAACGAAATAACAGTTATTTTGGAGAGGCGCAAAATGAGAAAACCCTTGCGAACACATGTTCACCAGATGTGCCATTAATTTCTACCCCTCACGACTATTCCATACGATCGTAAAAGATATCTTCGCAAAATATTTATAGATATTCATATATATATATATGGAAGAATCGTTTTAAGATATCTTCAACAAACTCAACGTTCTTTATGATTCTTTTAAAAAAGATAATAGTCTTTCTTAAAAGAAATCTATTGAACGATTCGAATTCAATTCAATGTAAAGATTTGTAAAAAGATATATTAAATTCTTGATAGCTTGGATCGCTTGGAAAAGACATAATACTTACCCCATGCAAATATTTAGTGAAATAAAACAGAGTTCTTTTATAATGAAACATATAATATATATTGCATCGTTTTGCTTATTGTTAACACAGAATTAAAATACGATTGACTGTACTTACGATCCATTCAACGATTCCACACGCAAATGTAATATGATCGAGATCCCTGTTGCTTTCCGGCTTAGGGCTGGTTCCCAACTGAATGGATCGCAATTGTTGCTAAGACTTTTTATGCTGATGTTGTTTTTATAAATCGAGCGACGACCGATCGCATTTCAAGCTTTATCAACGGCGTTTTGTTTATTTAGTCGTGGAGAGTTCCATTTTTGCATTATCAGCACATTCAGATTCATTCCATATAGTGCATATATAGCATATATAGTCTGTGGAGCTGGGCAAATAAAGAACTGATCAACTTTGCGATTTTCAGTTCGGTTCGGTATTCGTTTTGGTGTCGCATTCGTTTGCCTTTTCACGAACTAAACGAGGAGTTCTTATCGAAGAATATATATATATATATATGGGCATTATATATACTAGATTGTTCAGATGCTCTGAACAATGGAAGGAAATACATACATTTGCACAGCTTAGCTGCCAAGTAGGAAAAGCTCTCGCTTGCGATAAGCTTCAACTTAAACTGAACTGATTTAAATATTAAAAAACTAACTTAGGATTAAGAATCTAATCTATAGATAATATTATATAGCCTTATGAGCGCAATTCCTCTCTCTCTCTCTCTCTATATGTACGCATCGTGGTCCACCCAGAGATTTCTAAAAAGAGTGAATATTAGTGTGGAAACATATCAATATACTTCGGACTTACGGATTGAAGTAGGGCGAACGCAGCGCGTACTTTTGCTTGGGCGGCGCCTTTAGGCTGGGATCCAGCTGCCGAGCCGAGTGGGCCGAGTCGCTGGGCGGCACGTATTTCGCGGCGGATTCCGTGGCCGGGCTGTAGTTGGCCGCCGCAACGGCATTCAATAGATTTGTGCTATAAACGCAACGTTTGGGCGGTTCCCGTTCGGCAACTGGTGCCGGGCGTGGCGGGCATGGAGGACACTCCGTACGGGTCTGATCCAACTGTTCGCCGTGCTTGTAGGCCATGTGCTTGAGCAGAAAGCTGTCACGCTTGTAGCTCTTCTTGCAGATGGGGCATCTCAATTGTTTTCTGGTCCACCATTTATTCTGGGCTTCATGGGGCTGGCGGTGCTGCCTCAGATGTGCCTGCAGGGACATTGTGGATCTGAGGACTTTCGGGCAATAATCACAGTGGATTTCTGTCCTGGCCTTGCCCTGTGTCGGTGGATCTGACGTATTCCTTGCCAGCCGGGCGTTTACCTCAATCCCGGCTGGCGGGGGCAGGCGGCACGCATTGGGTGCATCCAATGCAGGCGGTCGCACATGGAAGTTGAGCTGTGCGGCGTGCATGGTCAGGTGCTCCCGGAGCCTGTCGATGTCATTGAAGGGTTGTTGGCACAGAAAGCAGGGTATGTGCACTATATAGCCTTGAGGGGGATAGGCGCCGTTATTCTGGGCCAGGATTGCGGTCAGGAGCGGCATGTTCGGCTGCTGCATGCCCATGCCCAGCGGGGAGAGTGGGGGAGTGACTAAAAGCGGCGGCGCTGTGCCCAGATTCTGATTGGGATGCCAATGCCATTCGCCAGCAGGTGGCGCTATTGTGCCTACAAACTCTACATCATTATCATCTACATCATCGCTATCGTCATTGTGTAGAGTTGGCGCCGGACTCTTGGGCAAATCGAATTTCGTGTTCAGCTGTTTTCGAATATGCCAATTAATTATTAAACGCTGCTGTCAATTAGTTTCAAATATAAGCTTAACTTACAAGTTCGTGATCCATAATATTAAGTTCTTATCTCTGTGCGTTGCTTTAGCTGATACAGTGGCCAAATGCTAAGCTCGAGTTGTGCTCATCTAGAAATTTCACAACGAACTGAGTTGAATTTCTTCTCAAACGTTCCTTATATACTTCGCACACATACACATGCACGCTACCAGGGCTTGTGTGTGTGTGTGTGTGTGTGTGAAAAAATGATTCTGTCCTGTTTCAATTCTAACTCATTCCCCTTATCTGTCTTCTTGCTCGCAATTTGCGTTTCTCCTTTCTTTCGCAGCAGCGGCTATTTTATAACTGTTCTATTCAATTGCACGGACACCTAAAAAAAAAAACGCAAGGGCAGCGCTCATAGCGATGCACGAAATCAAAACAAACCCTCCACCCACACACACACACACACACCCGCACGCACGCACGCACACTAATTAATGTGCGTCTCATGCTTGTGTGTGTGCATAGATATGTTGCTGTGTATTATTATGCACACACACATGCAACAAGTCGCAGATCTTTGGCGAGATTATGCATTATAAATTGATATTCGCTTTCTACACCCGCACATTAATATAATTTGTAGATTTTCTTTTAAACCGACGCGCGCTGATTATTAAAGTCTCCACTCGACGTTAGAAACCTGTTTGCTGCGTCGTTTTTTAGCTTTTCGCGTTGTAGCTGACTTAAAAAAAAAAAAAAGGACATCTAAGCAAATACCTGCACAGGGCAAATGTCTGCAAATATTTGTAGATAAAGAGATAAACAACTATCTGCATAGATAATAAAAAGTGGCATGCGCACTTCTGCTGCATTTAATTGCTGCGTAAGTGTTGCAAAATGACGAAATTTCTGCTGAAATGGTTAATTAATTTTTAAAAGCATCAAATATTCAAAACTGTTTAAAAACATGACTGATTGTAGGCATTAGGAATTATCTGATTTAGAAATTTTAAATATAGGCAAATAACCGCAACTGGCTTTAAAAAGGATGCACGTCTTATCACTTATTCAAAATTTATCTAGTAAAAAAAAAATAACAGCTTTCAACCCCTGGCGTTGTTTTTTTCTCAGCTTTCATCTTGTAACCCTTTTATTAATTGCAACAACATTATTCTGTTTTTTTTTTTTTTTTGTCAGGCTGCAAATGAACGCAGTGACTGTACCTCAAAGAGAATCGGGTTTACTTCGGTCCAGTCTTCTGTAACCCAAATTCTTGTCCTATCTTCGACTTTTCCAACACTAAGCTGACATATTTTAAAAATGGCGTCGACTGTGTACGGTTAGTTTACCTGTTGCGGATCAAGCACAAACACGTTTGTGTTTCTCCCTAAAAAAATTACCTTCCAGAACCTACCGATCCTTTACACAACACCTCGATTGAGCAGGTTGGACAAGGACTTATCATGCAGCAGACTTAACTGTACATTCTAGACAAGCGACGAGACTTGCGCTCAGTCCGCAGCTGTAACCAGTTGAGAATTATAGGCAGCGAAAGCGCAACAAAGCAAAATTTTGTCGTATTTCGGCTGTGCAGATGAATTTTTGTTGCTATTCTATTTGGTTAACAGCTCGATGCGAAAGTCACGTAAGAACCATAAATTCAATTATTATTTGGTTTTATTCGATGTGTGCGTAAATTAATAATAATATCAATTAAAATTGTTAGCCTAAATTTAATATGCGTTCTTGTCGACATTTGATAAGAATAATGCAATTTGTGGTTTCGCTTTTATTTGTTAAACATATTTCATATTTGCTCTGATTTCTTGTTTTTCTTTAGCAATTTGTTAAGAACTCTAGCTACGATTAAAATTAAATATATCTATATAGATATATATATATATATATATAGTACGATTAAATGTATGTACGGACTACGCGCTTAACAATTATGGCCGGGTGCTAAAATATGTACAGATAGATTAATGTGTGTGTAACCCAATAAAAACAATTTGTCTGAGATAGGCGAGCGTGAGTTTAAGACCGATTTTAGATGCTTCAACTATATACAATGTTATCTATAAATCTAATTGGGACAGAGGCCTTCAACTAAAAGGAGGCGCATCAAATGTTATTGCTTAAATTGTAAATACACATAAGTAAAATTTGATGATTTAGTGCATAATTTATGTGACTATCCGCTCCAATATTCAGATATATATATATATATATATATATTTATATGCATATATATATATATATATATCCATATACGTTTCTGTATGTTTACATAGAAGCAGTATGAGTGATAGGAACACGCCCTTTTCTAATTACTAAAAAAACAAAATACGCAAAGCCAATACACTTGTAAAAAATATATAGTTTTAACAACTAGATGCGCAGGGTTTATAAATAGGCTTTATAGATGATTCTCAGTCGGTATCAGTTCGCGCTGAGTGCGTCGAATAACTCCTTGGATCGCCTGGCAACGGCTGGCATTAGGCATTACGATGGCGCTGCTCTTGATTCGTTGCTGCAAGGCACAAAGAAGAAGAAGCTCAAATATAGTTAATGATGCGATAAGAAAGTTAAACAAACAACAACAACAATTAAAGCTGGACATGCTGCCAACATGAAGGGTTAGTTCGACTCGCACAGGCAACGGAACAGAATTTCGATAACACAATTTACTGTGCGCTTCACCTACCGAGTGTTAGGGCCAAAAACAAAGGGCCAAATACAATTTTGGCTAATTGAAATTAGATATTTGGCTCACGCGCGCTCTCGCATCGCAATATCTGTGCACATGACCAGGCAATCCGAATCGAACAGCAGTTTTGGGTTGGTTTGTCTTGGCGCCGATCTCAAATCGTTGCCTATTGTTGAGACAGGCGCCGGAAAGGTTATAGTATAGAGTTTATGACCCATTGACCCCATGTATCTAAATCGCTGCTGAATGCTTACCCAGGCTGTCGCTGGTCGCCTTGGCCTTGTCTCTGATTATGAAGCAGGCGGTGATCAGAAAGAATATGCCGCCCAGCACCTCCACAAAGGTCGTCGAGAACAGCGAATACTGCAGTGACTCGAAGGACAAGACTTCATCCGTGGCCTGCAAGCGAAAGTGGATACATTGTTAAGGATATTTCTGTTTGAGCAGAATCTTAATTGTCTACCTCTGCGCGTAGATACGACATATCCTTGATGGTTTCCGTTACGGTCTCCGTGGCATTTTCCAACACTTGCGACAAGCTCTGCATGCTGTTCGAACTTATAAACTTTGTCGTCGCCGAGCTCAGATGCTTTCTAATGGCCACCGAAATCTGAAAAATACATAAATTATAAATTTAAAAGGCAATTTCACAAGGAAGCCATGTCGGATACTTACGACGCCCACGAGATACGGACTGCCGGCATCGCCCAGCGCATGTGAGATGAGTATTTGGAAGGCTTCCGCCGTTGAGCGACGCGTGGGCACCACCACGTACTGCATAAGGGTTAACAGAATTAATTAGTTGTCCATTAAAAAACAAAAACATTCAATTCTAAATCAAGCAGTGTTACCAACAACAACAACAAGTAGAACAAAAAGCAGTGTTAAGCAGTGTATTAGGTGTGCGTGTGCAAGTGCATTGGCGCAAGCTCACAAGAGATGGCGCCACTTAAGAATGTATCGCAACAGTCGCTGGTTTGCGTCCCAGATTACCCGAATCGCAAATGGGAACAGCTGCTCGCTTGGGAACAGTTCTGTACGCTCGACCGACCGACTGACCGACCAAAACTTGACTGCGGCAATTTGTTGTCTACATTTGTTCTACTATTTCTTTACAATTACAAAAATATAATAATCAACTATATTAACTGTTTACTGTTATAAGCAGGCGAGTGTGCAGCGTGTGTGTGTCGTGTGTCACAAATAATAATTAAAAAAAAAAAAGAAGTAAATTAAGCAAAACTGATAACAGATATCGCAAAATGAATACAATCAAAAGTTATCTACCTGAACACCCTTTTTGTCTGCCAATTTAAATTTGATTTTTTTTTTGATTTCAGTTCTTTGCATTAACTGGGAACAGCAGAAGGCGAGCATTTCTCATACGCCCCGTGGCCAATGCGGAACTGTTCTCATGCCCAAAATAGAAACCTGTGGCATAGCGGAAAACTGTGTTACGTGTTTGCAGCCAAATGTTTTTATGTTTTTGTACAACAGCTGATCGAAATAGATACATAAATAAAAGCCTGGGCGGGGGAATTTCCACTCTAGATCGAACATTTTTGGGGTTGCAAAAAGCCGGCATCTTTAATGTTATTTCCCTAAGCCCTTTGTATGGGGTCTTTGGGGTGGCTAAAGTGTGGGAAGGGGGCACCCTCGGTGGCTGCTTTTTGGGGGTTGGCTATGCCAAACAGTTGGAAGGGTGACGACAAAAGCCCAACACCAGAGTCTCACAATGCAAAGGATGTGTCAAGGATATTTTTGGAGAATTTGTATGCAAGTCAAGTGTTAATTTATAAGATATGCTCGAAGAGCATTAAAAAACCAACACCAAACAAAAAGTTTCTTTTGAAATTTGCCAGAAATTGTCTTTCTACAAATGAAAGGACTATCTCAGAAAGGAAGTTTAGTATATCAAAAGGATGCGAATGAAACGGAGAACCCAACAATTGGGTAAATATGAGTTTGAACTCTTTTGATTGTTGAAAAGGCAGTTTTTCTTACGATTTCTCAATAATGTATAGAAAAGAAATTAGAAAAGAAATATATCTAAAAGCTAACAAAGCAAAATGGGTATTAAATTATATAAAATATTTACGCTCTGGAACTCTTGATTTTCTAAAACGACGTTTTTTCTTACTATTACTCAATTTTCGAACAATAATTTCTAAGACAGCTATAAATGATATATATATACACGATCTGGCAGTTAAATTGAATCAAGAACAGTTAACAAAACAAGACTATATAGAACTCGTCTGACTATATAAGTAGTTTCTATATATATAAAGCTTATGGATTTTGAGCTATTTTCTATATTTGTTATGGCACAATTCTAATCAGAACTTAAGTGTTAAATGCGAGACCAGCACCAGGTGAATGCGCTATAAACTTACAGGAATTTATAGCATCAATATTAGAATGTGCGTGCGTGTGTGTGTGTGTGTGTGTGTGTGCGTGTTATAACAGTAAATAGTTAATAATTTATACAAATTGTTATCGAAACATTAAAACTACGTGTGCGCAAAATTACAAAAGCCAATTACAATACTCAAAACAAGATTTGATTTAACAAAGATTTGTGCATTTGTGCAAAATTAAAAGAAAAATAAAAAAAAAAAACGTTTGTTTTGAGAATTGTTTGCAATCCGATTCGTTTTGATTCTTACCAACAAAATGTCCGCAACAATTGCCCAGTTCACGTTAATGGCCAATTGGCCGAAAAATATAAGGATATATGCGAGAGTCGTTTGGCTAGAGACGATCAAACAGGCGCCGGTCAGCAGCGGGGCGCTGAGCAGCAGGCCGATGGCACAGATAACGGGGTCAGAGGTCGGCCAGCGTTTCATTAATGCTTGCGACAGAATTGCGCCCAGCGGCACGCCCACAACGCCAGCGATCATGGTAATTAGGCCAAATTTGAATGCAACGCTATAAAAATTGTTAACAATTTGGTTTTTGATGCAAGTTTGGCAAATTGGCAATTAAAAGGTGTTAACATTTTTAGGGCGTGGCTGCTGTTGCTGTTGCTGTTAACAGTTGAATCCATGCTAATCCTTACCAGCAAAATGTCGGCCACAATGGACCAGCACAGGTTGAGCGCCACCTGCGCCACGAACACGAATACGAAACAGAGCGTTCCGCTGATGCGCGGTATTATCAGGCCAACAAAGACCATGGGCGCCGATATGAACAATCCGATGGCGCAAATATACGGATCACAGTTCTCGATCCGGCTGCGATAATATTGGGCCAACACGGAGCCCAGCGGCACACCAATTAGGCCTGCGGCCATTGCGATTAGGCCAAATTTGTAGGAGACACTTTTTTAAGATGGATGCAACAACAACAAGAAGCTAAAACTGTTTAAATGTTCTTTTTTTCCACATCAGAAAGTGTGTGGGGGGGCAGCGTTTCGGTTAGTTCAGTTAGAGTACTTACTCGTCCAGCTGGAGATTCTCGTTGCCGGGCTGCATCTTGAGGCCCAGATGTATGTAGGTGGGTCCCCACCAGGCCAGAGCGCCGGCGACGAAGGCAACGCACGTGAAGCCCGCCGTGGACAGCATGAACGAGCGATTCTTGAGCAGCTCCTTGATGTCAATGCAGAAGCTGGTTGGCTCCATGCCGGACTGGCCCTCGCTTTCGCCGCGCTTCGGATCCTTGATCAGCAGGATGAGCATCACGGCGATGACGCCCAAAATGGGCGTAACACGCAAGGCCCAGCGCCAATTGTTGGCCAGCTGTGCGGTCTTCGAGCCGACAATATAGCTGCGGGCGGGGGGAGAGAGAGAGAGAGAGGGGGGAACAAATGCGTTGATTAGTGATTGCATGTGGCAAGTGGCAAGTGGCGTGAGGCATGCGGCACATAGGGGCCTGAATTGCCTGTCAATTGGAGCAGATTCGAACAATTGACCCCACTTGAGAGCCGCCGCCTTAATTGAGTTTAAATTTACATTTGATTTGCCGATTTCTATAAATAACCAAAAAAAAAAAAATAAGAAACAAACTAAACTACATTTATTCGCAATTAAACTTTCAACTGCAGCCAAAAGGTGAATCGCCAACAATTCTCTTTGCAATTCTCACGGCTGCTGCGTGAGCGAACTTTGCACCCATCGCCTGCCGATCTGATGGACGCACACACGTGACGGACCCAGACGATGGCCACAGATACGATTGCGGCTCTTATCAGTAAACCCCAATAACCTTGTACCACTATCTATATGGAACGCTAGACCCTCTAGCTGTGCTGCTGTTTCCAGCTCAACAGTTGCCCGCCTTTTCAAACGAGTTCAACTAACTCGAAAATCTGTTAGGTCTCTGTTAACGCTACTGCCTAAATGTTTATGTTAATGCTGATGTTAATGCTATTAATGTTAATGCCAGAATTTCATTTATAGTTCATATATGATTTTATCATCTGATTAGGCCATTGGATCAAAAAAATTCCATTCCATGATTTCATTCAGATAATTCAGTTCCTTATTCCTAACTTCTTATTGTTCAGTTGCCTAAGTAAAGCATATATATACGCACATATATAAAAAAAAAATATATATATATATTTGTGCTCTATCAACAACCGATTCTTTATAGCCAAGGCTGTCTGTGAATATATTTTTAAGACATTCAGTTTCCGATTATTTATGTATTTGCCATGAATCATATTCAATCGAGTACCGACTCTGTGCTATATATCACATATATATAACATATCTGATATGCGCACAATGAGTCGAATATTAAGGCACACAATTTGTGGCGCTTGAACATGTTTTGTTTAAACATTAACAGTTTTCATTATGTATTCAAAATTTTCCTAAGATCTTAATAGACTTTAGTTTCCCTTAACTTTGAAAACATTGTTTCTACAAATGGACTATAGCTGAATCGGTAGAGTAAAATTCATTTGATAATCGTTTCAATCAATTTTCTATATCTTCCCTGTTTTGAGAGATATCCCAAGCTCCAAACATCGATTTTCGACATATTTCAAAATTTCCCCGTATTATCCCGACTTCGGCAGTCCGTTTAGTTTTCTTCTTCTGTTGATTTAGCTTACCCCAGACCAGAGCCAACGGGTATGGCAAAGTAGAACATTGCCAGCATTTTGGAGCGCATGCTGTTCACAAACAGATCCGAGATGATCGTCGGGGCAATGGTGCTGTACGAGGCCTCGCCGATGCCGACCAGGGCGCGAAACGTGATGAACCAGCCGAAGGTGTGCATATACGAGCCCAGAAGTGTTGTTGTCGACCACAGAGCCACGCCCACGGCCATAAGCCAGCGCCTGGAATAACGATCGCCCAAATAGCCGAAGAGGGGCGCGAATATCATGTAGGATATTACGAATGCTGTTTGCAACAGGCCTGCATTATCATTGTCTATGTGAAAGTCTTCCTTCACTTCTGTCAAAACACCTGCAAGAGAGAAATCAAAAGCGAAAGATTCGATATATGATAGATATATATTTTGTTGCCTTTTCGAGACTAGCTCGTGATTTTTAAAGCAGCTGCTCCTGTTAATTGGTTAAACAAATATCGCATCCGCTCGTTTAAATCTTTACGTAAGTTAAAACCAGGGTCTGGCTGTTAGTTCATTAACTAAGCTATTAATACTCATGATTCTATGCTTAAAAATAGGTCCACAAATATTGAGTTAGAGCCAACAACAGAATGTTAACTAACATTGAACTAACCTTAACGCTGTTCAATAAACATTACATTGAGTTATATTCGACAACAGAATGTTAACTAGCATTGCAACACAGCAAAAGCTGTTCAATTAACATAACAGCGCTGTTATAAAGTATTTATAGATAGCTGAAGTTTATAGGAAATATCAGAATGTGTGGAAACTACAAAAGTAAACTTTTTTCCTTTGTCGGTATTTAAAGGGGTATTAAATTAATAGTCACACTGACACATCGTATTTTTTTTGTTAATTTAGAATAATTTGTCTAAATATATATAGGGATTGAATCACCAAGTTGGGTTTCATAAGCCCTGAAATGTAAACAAAAACATAAGAACTAGGCAAACGAAATTAACCTTATGCTTGTCGTAATTATTTAATCAATTTTTTTTTTTGATAAATGAAAAGTAACCGAGATTATGTTTGCTTTGTTTTGGCAACATTTGAGCTGATAACGCAAAATGCGGAACTGAACGAAACCAAAATAATATATTAAAAACCCTGACATTCTTTTTATGCATATTTCCAGCTGATTATCTCATGCTTGCCCACAAACATAGAATTCAAATTATTAGACGGATATGCAAGTCATTAAGAATCATCGTAAATAATAACATTGACACGACCTAGCCAACAACAGTTGAACTGTTCAATGCATTTCCTATATTTAACGGGGCCGTCGCAACTTTTAAGATACATACAAGCATACGTGCGCTGGCCTTTAACAGCAACGGTTAACAGTTAACGGATCCGTAGAGCCGAAAAAGCAAACAACATAAATACATTCATATAAAAAATTAAAGATGATCAGCTAGGGTTGCTGAGGAGTTCAGCGGGGGTGGGTAAAGTTGCAAGCGCCGGCATTCGAAAAGCGGAAAGCGATACATGGCCGAGAAAAAAAACTCAATAAGTGGAGACCGAACAAAACGTGAAACGACCGACTACTAAAAGCCGAGCACTGCACTCGACGACGTGGCGCGAAGTCAAACGAAGTGAATCAGCAGGCCGCAAATGTGCGGCTGACGTTTTTGTTTGTGTATTTGTTGTTTTTTTGTTTTCTGTGTCTCATTTCGCTTTTGAGAAATTTATCGTACGATGTTTTTCGACCAATCAGCGCGTTTGTTTGCCCAGTGACGTAACGGTGAGTGGCGAGCGCCACGCGATAAATCCAATGTGGGGTGTGTAAGCCCCATACAAATTTTTGTAAACATCTATGTTGTGTATATATATATGTGTGAGTGTGTGTGTGTGTGTAAGAGAGCAACTATTTACACACAACGAGAGACATTGCTGGCAAGGTTTTGCGGTTGTTTATGGCGCTGCGCCCGCGCTGCAGATAGCGCACGAAAGCAGAGGCAAGACGTCGCAGCGAACGACTGGCTTCAGCTTGTTGTTGTTGGCGACAAAACTGCGATCGGGAATTTTATTTTGCCGGTTTTAGAAACTTGCGCGTAATTTTAGAACCAGTCTGCGCTCTCACGCTCACGCTCTCGCTCTCGCTCTCTTTCGATGACGCTCTCATTTGACGCTGTGACGCGTCTAGACGGGAACTGATTAATCTCCAGCTAGTGAAGGAATCTTGTCTGGCAGCAGTTGGTTAAGAAGAAGAACGACTGCTGCACATACTGGACCGTCGGTATGTCTCATTAATGTGAATATGAAAAAAAAGAGGTTGCAGCCAAGTTGAGAGCGGTTGTGATTGGCCTTGAAAACTCGCACGAATTGCAATTTCAAGCAAAAAGAGCTGCAACTTTGAGATGTTCCAGACAGCATTAAATGGCATTGTTAAAATGTCGTGTTTTTTTGTCTTTTTTGCTTTTCGTAATTAACATTTTTTTGGGAAAGCTTGCTCTTTGTAAATGCAACTTTCTTTTGTAAGCTGGAAGTATAGAAAAAAAGAAATCGCCCAAAAGCTGCGCGCATCAATACACAACATAAAGGCAAAGCTTCCATACACAGCCTCTCTAACTGTTCACACCTCGTCTTTTTCTTCTTCTTCTTTTTCTTCTGCTTGCTGCTTATGTTAATGTTGTTATTGTGAATTGAATTTGCGCTTTTTACAGGTCGCTGTCGCACTTTGCTGTCGCCGTTTACCCTGCGCCGGTCATTGACATAGAAAACAAAAGCAACGCTAAAAATAATGCAAAAATGCAGCAAAATCAACGACAACATTTGACAAGTTGTGCAATGCGAAAGCGACAATAAACAGACAAAATATACAATACCAAAATGTGCTTGGCCTATGATCTAAAGCTAACAGCGCGCGTACGTACGTTTCTTTATATGTATATGTACATTGAAGGAACTTAGCAGTTTAATGTAAAGAATTAGCATGGAAGGAACGTCAGAGCTCTTACATTTATGTTAATGTTATTGTGCATGTGCTGCTAAAGAGAGGAAATTAAGTAAACGGAACCGCAACCTGTCGAATGTTTTTACATTATTGTGTGTTGGAATTGTTTAATCAATCACTTGATTTAATTGTATGCCCACTCAAGAATATATTAATGGGCAGAAATGTGCCATTTTAATACTATAGGGCATTTTCCTGACCATCGGGGCGATCTTTATCATTGATCTGTCCAATTTTCTCTCCTAATCTCTTACAGACTATCTTCATAAATGTTACTCGTGATCATGTAAATATTTCCCCCTTTTTGATAGCGAACAAAATGAAAGTTTTGCGCTGGCAACTTTGTACAATACGTTAAAACTGAATTCAACAATAAATTGTTATGCCAAATGTAAAAGAGACCTGAATAATATGCAAAATAAACCACAAACTGAAAGATACAAAGAGATATAAAGACGACGCTTCAAAATGTCAATAGCAAAACCTCACGTAATATTTTCGTTGGCTTAACATTCGACTGGGTTTTCAGTAAATAATCATAGCAGAAATTCCGAAAGCTGCAAGCTGCAGAAAATTATTGTACTAAGATTAAGTTTTCGGATTTCTTTGGGCTGATCCTTGCCTTGGAAAGTGGCCAAAGTGTTACGTAGAAGAAAAACAGCCGCCAGCTTCTGAGAGGGCTGTTTTTGAGATAAAATGTTTATGTACAATTTGTACAAATATATATTGGATCTCTTCGACACTCGCTGAACGCCTGTCATATGGCACAAAGTTCAGTACATGCGAATATTGTATATATATATATATATGTATGTCTGCAGATATATAGGTTTATTTATACGTTCAATTGTCAACAGCTGGCATCAGCAGATTCTGCATGAATGAAAGCAAAAAATTTGTTATGTGATTTACTCAAAACTCAAACCAAATACAATAAAGCCAAGCAAACATGATCAGGCGATAATTTTGCATTATGTGAGAAATGTTTATTGAAAGTTTTCAGAATCGTTTGGGGTCACAACACAACACTGAGGCCAGCTCTGGCCTGCCATAATAAGCAAATGCATAAGGTTCAACTCATGCCAGACATCGGGCGATATAACACACATGCAAACGCCGCAGTCGTACAACAATATGGCTAAAGGTTGCCCAACACACTCACGGTTGATGTAAATGAGCGCGTGTTGAAATGGATTGAAAGGCAAACGTTTATTTATCATTTTGCAAATTTTTGAAGACATGAAGGTTGGCTATCGTTTAGCCAAAATCGATGGCGCTCGCAAATTGGCTTAAAGTGGTTTCAATCACGTGCAATCGAGCCCAACTATCTGGCTCCGAAATGCAATTTATTTGTCTCTGATAAGCGCAAATAATTTGCTAATTACACTGATAACGGTTATCGCCAATTGTAGTAATCAGGTGGGTGGCGCATCAAAACTAATTGCTATCAAATGACAAGCTAGCTGAAACAACAAAACCTAACAGAATTCCCTTCTGCTTACATAAACTTATAATAACAGTATTAAGTGTGCGCTTTAATTAACATTTGTATGTCATGTTAAGTAGCTGTAACGCAAAATCTGTTATGAAACGACAAGGCAGCTAAAACAACAAAAACTAACAGAACTCCCTTATGCTTGCATCAAATCTAATAACAGTGTTTGTATATCATGTTAACCAACAGAACTCGCTTCTGCTTACATTAAATTGTTAATGGCAAATATCTTTCTTTATGTTACACTAATTACCAAGTTAACTTCTAGTATGTTGACTAAATATATAAATAAATCTTCCTGTATGTAGTATATTTTTTCTTATATGTCAAATTTGTAACTTCTGTTACATAAATTAAGTTGTTTCATTTATATATATTTTACTTAAACCACGTAATATCTGTCAAAAATGTACACATTGCTCACACTCAAGCAGTTAAGGTCTAAAAGCAATACCGAGTGCCAAGTAAATAATCATTCGTTTCAGTTTACGACTGATTGAAGCTACCCCAAGTAAACAGCTCTAAGCGAGTAAATGCAAATAAACGTATATGGGGAGAAATGTTAACTAATTGCCCCACGCCCACATAAGAGCGTAAAGAGATATGTGTGAATGTGAATGTGATTGTGAATGTGAATAAGCGTTCAAATAACCAGCATGACGAATATGCGTTTATCGGGTGCGTTGGTGTTCCCGTATGTAAAACTTATCGCCCAATTTGTTTATATATTATGTATTTTTATACGTATTTAAATATAATACCATTTCCTGTCAGTGTGGTCATGAGTTTCCTACCGATAACTGATTAAAAAATCATACGACTTCTGCATTTGGTAGCCCCTCATTACAGGCTTAGTGAAAGTAATGGGCAATTACATGATTTCGGTTCCAGTGTTGGTTAATGGCTTTCGCTGCAGACAATAAAGTCCTAAGCCAAGCTTGATAATAATTAATGAATAACGAGTGCGTCCCAGTTAACCAGTTAACAAAAACGAAACCGTGTTAAGCAGCATGTTAAATGTGCATATTTAAATTTACTGTGCCAGTGTTGGCTAACAACATACGCTGCTGCCGTGTGCCCTTGGATTCTTCACTGTTGCCTCGCACTGTTGCCAGTGACAAGTTTAATTATTGCAAAAACTGCTGATCAAGCTCAAAAGTCCAAGTTTAATTTATATGCATAACAGTAGTTATAAACTTAAAAAGTCAAGTCAAAGTGCAAGTCAAGCAAATTTCACATATGAATAAACAGCAGATAAATAATTTATACTAATTTAAATAATGAAGAATAGAACTGAGGGATGGGTCATTGAAGCCAATTGGCCAATAATAATAATAATTGATTTAAATTCGAATCGCGAACTAGCCAATACCTGATATCCCCTTTACTGCGCTGTTATCGCTGTAAGCAAGTTTACATTTGTTTATCGCCTCACTTGCAACGATTGTGATTCACGCAATAATCACGCCACGCAACTAATACAATTACATGTAAACACGTCTCTGTTTAAATATACTGTTACACTGCGCTGTGTGATAAGCTTCTTCAGATTTCGCAGCCACTGTAAACAAGGGATCATGTTAAAGCTGAGCCACACTATGGAAAGTTCCTGTAAATAAGTGTTGGGCAGACGGAGTTGCCACTTGAACGGAATTGTTTTACAGCACATGTTAAAATGTACCAGGCTGAAAAAAAGTACCATTATATAGGCATATCTTGTTATTCGTATAGAAACCAAGGAAAACAATGTAAAAGGGTTATGATTTCCCAATATGTTAAACTGACTAAATAATATCCCAGTTTTGGTACTTTTGTACCCCATTTGGCATGCATGAATGGAATATTTTTATCACGCCAGGTCAGGCGCACATTTCGCACAAAAGTGTTAAGATTATGTATGTAAATTAGCTAAATGCCTGATTGATTACTTTGCACCTACTTTGAGTAGGTGCCTAGGTGCAGGGAGTAATAAAAAAAAAAAATAATAATATAGATAAAAAATACATTAGCGCAGGTCGTATGATTCTAATGTGATTAGTCAGACGATTTTTGTTTTTGTTTTATATGCAGAGCGTTGAAATTTGCTTCATACGTCAGAGCCAGAATGTTTACAGTGTTAACAGCAGCAGCCGTGACGTACAGTTAAACGTGTGGCTGTGCGTTATCAGTTAAGAGCAGCACTAACATCAACGAGAGAGCAACATAGAATCAAGAGGTCCAATTGGAGAAAGTGACGTAGCTGTCAGCGTCAGACAACTGGTGCAACATGCGGGTCACGCGTCCAATTGGAATTCTTGACTTTAATTGAATCGAACCGAAAACTTACCAGCTATTGTGAAGCGATCCATGTAGTTGATGAGATTAACAAAGCAGAGTGTTGCAACAGTAAACCATTGTAAGTGCCCCATACGGGCTAAACGGGATCCGGGCTCATCGACTATACTATTTCCACGTAGGTGGCGACGTTCCATCAAATCTGAATCCGATGAAACTAGCTGTTGTGACGAATATGTCGCAGGTAGTCCGCTCTGAGCAAGTGCGGCAACATCATCGTTGCTTCCACTGCTGCTGCTGCTGTTGCTCATCGCCGGATTGTCCATTGCGGCCGCTGCAGTCGGTAGCGGTTGATATGCCGGATGGTTTTTCAGCGACATTCACGTGCCTTGCACAACTCTCTCTCTCTCACACACACGCACACACACACACCCGCACGCACGTACGTACGTAAGTTTCCTTAAGGCACCAAAGAGGTTGCGGCAAAAGTATTTTACAGTCTCTCTCTTGCTCTCTCTGTATTTAACACACACACACGCACACACACGTCGACGATGCCGCGTAAAACACACGCGATGCACGAATTTGGATAGGAAGCAAGAATGTGAAAATATGTGTTGGTGGCAGATTTCTATTCGCCGCTCGCTCGCTTTAAATACTTTGGCAGCGTTTCAATTCTTTTAGAAAATAACTTGTTCGCTGCACTTGTTGCTCTTTTCAATTGGCAATTAATCAACCTTTACACATTTATTTCATTTATATGTCCACTAATTGAATGCGTCCGTCTGGTTTTTATATGCAGTTGCGGGGATTCTTTTTATTCGTTCTTTTATTGTCCGCAACACGTCCGCACTCGTTCAACAATCTTAAACAACTATTCAATCGATGGCATTCCCCAACGTTAACAGTTTGCTGAACTGTTAATAGGTCTGCTGTTATTCAATTAGCTCTGCTGTTATTGAACAGAAATTGTATTTATGACCAGGTGGCAACGCGTTGTTATCGATATGTGCAAAATCGGCGCCATGTTTGAATTACGAACATTTCAAACTTTGTGCTCAAAGGTGTTTTGTGTTATTTATTGAATTTATCAAGTGACAATGGTGCTTAAAATTTTAAATGCTAGTAACTATATATATATTATTCAATATCCATTTCATCCAAGCGCCCACGTACACGATTCTTGCGCTTATGTTTTTTGGTGGGCGGCGGTAAAAAGCTCTCAAGGAACTCGATGGTGCTCAATATAGTCTCCGAGCTAACATTGCCAATGTGATTTTTGTCAAAATAGACAACGGGCACCACCGGTTCCGAGGCGACCAGCTTATCGCAGCGCTGCTTTAAGGTCTGGGCATCCAGAGTTTCCACATCCGAGTTATTCGATTTGTCTGAAATCTTAGCTGGGTCAATACACAAATTAATGTGCTCGAAGCTGTGCAGAAATTATTACCAAAAATCGGCCTAAAACATTCCTTGACCTGTATCCACTTGGTGCAAAAGTCCTTTATATAGCTGTCGTTCTGCAGAAAGAAACTTCTCGCCGAGCTATCCACACGCGATCTCAGAAAGCCCGGCACATACGGCCACTTACCCTTCGCTGCATAGAAGCACATGATGTCTGAAATGAAGACTCTATTAGCGTACGGCTCTATCAATAGAGAAAGTCGAGCCTACTTACAGGGCACCTGAAATATTTGCAGAAAAGTGCGACGATGCTCCAGGCTGGAGATCAAATGTATGCCGCTCGTTCGACTGCCCTGCAGACTGGCCGGACGCGACGGCGTGCGCTTGAATGGTATCTCCTCCACCCGGACGCTATTCAGATAGGCCTCGCTCACGGTGAGCAGAAAACCCAAAACAAATAGTGGGAAAATCCAAACAATCAGTTTGCGTGCCAATTTCATGCTGCACTTGCCGCCTTGCGCTACGAAATGCAACTAATTTAGCCGCAGGATATGACAGGACAGGACGCACACAGGACCCGCAATATATTGATTTTAATTGGCATAAATCGCCGGGCATTGCATGTTTGGGCCCAGCACCAACAGCCAATGAACCCCGACCGGACAGTGCACTGAACTTTGAGCCAAATGCAAATGCCAACCCCAAGACGAGAATACTAGAAATGTCTGGCTAATATGTTTATTAATATAATCGGATCTGCATGCCAATAAATATTGAAAAATCCAACTATAGTTCAGACAGACGCAGCCGTAAATAAGCTCAATTGTTTATTGGATCACATTTGGCTGGCACAAATTGTAACCGCATTTTTATACCCTACATCTGAGCATGGGTTAGTTGAATTTATGCAAACGCATAGCTTGGAGTTTCTTCTTCTTATTGTTAACACAATTGTTGGTCGCTGGTTCGAACCGGGCAACATTTTAGTTCGATTTGTGAGCCAGTTTCTTCAAGTTCATAAATTTTGGCTCTTCGTATTTAAAACAAACATTTCAAAATGTAATTAAAATAAAAACAAGACAGTAAAAAGAATTTTAAAAAATTTTTATATATTAAATAATTTATTCTAGTGAAAAATAGATAAAATAATGAATGTAAATTTTCAATTAAAGCTTAATTGTAGTTAAATTTGCAGAAAATGCAGTTCAAAATAGGAAACGATTTTTGACAGGCTCTCCTAGCTTTACATACTTTACTTTAACTGTGTGGGTTAGGGTATTTCGGCGTCGACTTGGCCGTTCTCTGACTTGTTCGCCTGCATCAATGGGCGGCAGGTGTCCGGTGACGTATACGCAATGCGAGACTTGTTTGCGCTCGTGTCATTTTGTGGCTTTCTGCTAAACGTGCCTTTGTTTGCCATTTAGCGTCTTTATATGTCTAGCCCCCTTTTTGTTTGTTGGAGGCTGGAAAGCAAGCGAACCAGCAATGCATCAATCAATCAATCAATCAGTCAATCAATACCGCTTCGATAAAAAAAAAGAAAGAGAGCCTCTGGCCCAGCTCAGGCAACTTGTCGCAAATGCTAATGAATGTTAATCAAGCACAAGTCAATAATTATATGACAATTGACTAAAAGCAGAAGTGTTGCATTTGACGTTATCGGCAGCACCGAGGGTTACTCAGTTGGTTGCGTGCGATATTATCGGCCACGCCGATATCTTTTTGGCATATGGTCGGAGTATGCGGGGTGAAGCTGGGCCCACGGCGGAGCCCAAAGTTTTGAAGGGTGGCAACGCCAGACATGCGATCCACGGCGCCAAAAGCGACGATTGCTATTGGCCGCCCGTTTCGCTCTTAAAGGGAATACGAGGAGAGTGGATCGCATGCCCTTGGATATGCCCTTGGCCTTCATTTGGGCCGTTGACCCAAAAAAATGCAGCTGTGCAGATGAGCAGCAACGGTGCCCGCCTCGCAAATGTATGCGTGTGCCGAAATTCGGCACCGATGGTGTGGCTGCCAAAAATGTGGGGGAGTTGGATTTGTTCAGCGGTTAACGGCGGGCGTGCCAGCTCGAAGTGAGCAAAAAAGTTGGACATTGCATTTCTGCTTGACAGAGTAAAATTTTTTCCCTTCTGAAAAATTAAGCCGGCACATAATACCAATGGCTTAACAGACGAATAAAAGTTTTGTTTTTGTGTTCTTTGCCATGTAATAAATTTACATAAATCAAACCGCTCGAATCACAAAGAAAATATAATAAAAAAATTAAAAGAGACTTAAAAATTTAAGTGCGACGAGAGACGAACCAAATAAGCCAAAAATTAACGGCTCCGGCACCAAGGAGACCAGCTCGCGCACCAGAGAGGCCCACGAAATATTCAAGGCCAGGATTCAGTGCAGCGGCGCAAACCAGCCATATCCGCGACGCCGCCAGCAAGCGTCGGCGCAAACGTGAAGGCGACGAGACGAGCCACCAACGACCGGGCTCCAACAACGAAGAAGCGGCCACAGGCGAGACCCCGCCCACATCCACCGAGTGAGTCCGTTCCATTGTTTTGCCCATCCTCGTTCGAGCCCCTGGCAGAGTCAGAAGAAGACTCCTAATTGCACTCCCTGAAAAGGAGTAGATTTTTTTTTTTATCGTTAAATTTGGTTAATTTGTATTTATAAAATATATTCATACATACATAGGCACTTACGCCGAGCTTCACTTTAGAGTGCGAACGGTGAGGAAAACTCCAACGGTGACGCCTCTGCGCCTGTAAAATATAAAAAAAAAAAAAATCTAAAATTAACTCTTGCGCGAACTATGCTCACATATTTACCTAATTTGAATTTACGCATTTATATCGCCCCTTACCACCCCCAGAGAGCTCTTTAGGTAGGGTAAGGTAGAATTAAGCGATTTAATACATACAATACACAATACGTGACATACCCAGTTTTAAGTAATTGTGCGGGCCATTGTTCCTAAATCGGGGCAACGATTGCCTCTAAAGTGCCTCATTGCGCGTTTCTTTTGCGGCGACTAGCAATATCCTTGTAGTGTTTCGTCGCCTGTTCCATTCAGTGTTGTAAAAAAATAAAAAAAATTAATTCTATAAGATAAGAGAAAAATTTAGGAATTAATGCGCTGTGTCAATTAGTATAAGTATATGCAGCAGTAATACGCACCTGTGAAGTTAATGAATTATCCGCTTGCATGAGATCCTAAACAGCTGCAAGATAAATGCCATAAGCAATGATTATGATTGTTATACATTTTAAGAAAACGCAACCAATTATACGCACCTATTGAAAGAAATCATGTCCGGCTAAAATAATATTGCTGGGGAGAGTGGGCATTATGGCCGACACGGGCTAATATAGGCCATTTGGTGGCCAAAATGAGGGAGACGAGTGGAGGTGATCGTCTCATGGTAGGGCGGGTACGCTGGGTCCGGAACCGGGGCCCGATCTGGAAGAGTAAGGTGGATAAATAGTGTTTTTTTTGTTAATTTATATTGAGTGTCTTACCTTTGTTGTTTACATTTTCATAGTTGTTACAGCTGTGTATTTTGTTCATGAGTTAGTAGTTCCGAATATTTGTTATCGATTATGCGGTTCATTTTGAGTAGTGTTGTGTGAGTCTGTTTTGCTACAGACGTGTAGCTTTGTTGTTATCGATTGTGCGGACTGCGGGCCAGGGATGGGACCACACCCAGAGAATCCGATGAGCCTGCCGGCGCGGCCCACTGAGGAACAAGCAGTTCCGTAACAATATGGCGCCCAATTTGAAGAAGCACTCGGCTTCTTTGAAGTCGGTGTGTAATCAAAGAAAAATAAATACGATAAAAATGAAGGTACAGAGGAAAGGACTCCCTTGGCTTCAGGACCCACACCGCTGAAGTCTTATGTGGCACGAGTAGGTAGCTCATAATCGCGCAGCGTGTAGTGGAATCCGAGAAGCACGACGGAAGTAGAGGTTATCTGAATATCCATCCATAAGCATGAGGGGTTTTTTTTTTGTAGTGGTTGATGGCCGTTCGCATGTTGGCGAAACATTTGCGACTATCCATCGTTCGCCTGGTGGTAGCCGCAACGACAAAGGCATCTCATGGTAAAAAAAATGTGATATTAGGGTAGTTTAGTCAGATGTTATTTATTCAATTAGTTGTTTTTGTCTCATTTTGTGTCAATGTTGGATGTATGCTGGCCGTAGTTATACGAGCTTCGGAGACCGGTGACCCAGGACGATATAGAGCCGAGCCTGCGCCGCATCTGTCACACAGCATATCCCAAGGATGGCCAGAAGAGCGACGGAGACGGATCTTGCCATGGTGTCCATTGACATGGGGTGTTTTCTTGTCGCGGTTGATGACGGTAAGTCACGTTTGCTAGTTGGTGAACGTTCGCGACCGTCAATCGTAGCCTGGTGGTAGCCGCCATGACAAAATAACCTGTGACGAAATGTGATATTAGGGTAGGTCTGACTAGAGTTTGTTTAATGTTTTCTATTTGTTTTGTCCCACTCTGTGTTAACGTTTGGTGTGTGCTGGCCGTAGTTAAATGAGCTTCGGAGGCAGGTGACCCAGGACGATATAGAGCCGATCCTGCGCCGCACCTGTCACACAGCATACTCTAAGGGTGCACAGAAGTGCGACAGAAACCAAATAGCCTTCAAGGTAGCGTTCCTTGCATGCCGTCCGTCAGTCAAACTGACGAACTGAGCATGGGACGAATGCTTAAGTGTTGTCCACTGTCCAGATTATGCGTAGATTATTTAGCCTGTGTTAGGATTTGTCTTCTCTCCCCCAAGTATTTGAAATTAATTAGAAAGAAAAAAAAAATTTAATTTTGTGAGTGTTTTTGTGGTCGATGTGTATTAATTTATTATTCTTTATTAGTAAGATTTGTTAGTGGGTGTTTATTTATTTATTAATTTATTAGAAATATTAGTAAAGTTTTTATAAGGGTTGTAAGCCTTGTAGAAGAGAGGGGTACTGTTCTCAGAAGGGATAAGTATGGCCGAGGAACAGGTGTCTGATTGGGCTTCTGACGCTGATGGGGCGTCGGCTCTGCCACCGCCGCGCCCAGCTGGAGGGCTGGTGCGAACGCCAATGAATTTCCGGGGATTTCCAGAGAGACAGATCCCGAAAGAGGGTCACCTGGTAGACTTGGAGAAAGAATTGGCGCAACAGGATAGACCTCCACGGAACCTGGAGTTCCCAAAAGCCCCGAAAGACTCAGTGCTCAAATCGGCGGCAAACGCGGCGATCGCTCAGGCCCACCAAACATATCTGCATGCTCTGCCATCTGGCATCAGCGAGTCCATCCGCGAGGAGATGCGAGCTGGCTTCATGGAAATGATGAAGGGCATCATTGATGTGCTTAGGCCGCCAGGGAGCCAAACCGCCGAGACTAACACTGCGCCGAAGCCGCCAAGACATGTCGAGCCGGGACCGCGAACAGGCGCCATCCCGAAAGAACGGGAAGTGTTCCAGCGCGAGGCATTTCCACCACCGGTGCCACCGAAGCCACGTAGGCAAGGCGCACGAGGGGCGGAGTATTCGTCCAGCAGCCCAGTTTACGTGGCAGATGCTCAGTCGAGGAACTGGCGTAACCCGAATAACCGCCATTTCCGAGTAGAGGACCGGAGAGCGGATGATTTTCAACCGGAGGAGGCGTACGCCAACGTGCGAGAAACTGCGTACATGAAGCTCGAGCGGTGGAACGTCAAGTTTGACGGCGAGGACGCGATGAATTCGGTCGAGGACTTCGTGTTCCGCCTAGAGTTCCTGCAGAGGCAGTATCAGTGCCCGTGGAAGGAGGTCCTGCGCGGTTTCCACCTGCTCCTGACCGGCCGCGCCCGCGAGTGGTACTGGATGCACGTGCGGCATTCTAGGGTCGACAGCTGGATGCAACTGCGGCATGCCCTCTTGGACAGGTTCCGGGGCTACCAGACGGAACACGAGGTAATGCAGGAGCTTCTACAACGAGAGCAACAGGCCAGCGAAGGGGTGGATGATTATATCCACCACATGCGTCAACTCGCCGCGCGATTCCAGAAGCCGCTGAGAGACCGAGAGCTGGTGAGGATTATAAAGCGTGGTTTAAAAGAAAGTCTGGCGAAATATATTTATGCCATGGACGTACTCACCGTGGATGAGCTGCGCCAAGAGTGCCTAGAAGTGGAGAGGCACATGGGTCGCAGAAGCCGGACTGGGTACCTTCAGCCGTCGCGTTGTCCACAAGGAACGAGGCCCGTAGTCCACGAGGTTGAAGTTCCACCGCATCTTACAGAAACGCCACCGGGAGAACTGGAGGAGGCATTCGTGCGAAGCAGGAACTCATCCCGAATTGTATGCTGGAACTGCAGACAGTTCGACCACGTCTTTAGAGACTGCCTGTCCAAGGAGCGGAAAATATTCTGCTATAGGTGTGGAAAGCCGGACACTTTCTGCTCGCAGTGTGAAAACTGTCCGGGAAACCCCAGAGGGAGCGCGGTGATGGCGGGACAGACGCGTTCCGGGACGGCGACCGCGGGAAAGCAGGAGAGGGGCACCTACCAGAGCCAATAATCATTGGAAAGGAGACGGAGATTTGGAATAAGGATCAGGATAAGGCTAATTATAATAATAGTATAAGCAAAGGAGGAACACTTAGGGGCTTACCATACGAAGAACGTGTTCGGGCATACATGTCGGCCCGAAATAGAATTTTTGGTGAGCGACAGCTGGAGGGGATGACGCTAGCCACCCGGAGAATGGTGAAGGCACGTGCGCGCTTCCGCAGACGCAGGATTACCAGGCGCCAGGTCGTCGAAGCGGTGAGACGGGAGGAGAGTATAGACCCACGAGTATTCGCCGAAGTGGAGGTCGCTGGAGCCAAAATGAAAGGGTTGCTGGACACGGGGGCCTCAGTCAGTCTGTTGGGACAAGGATGCCGGGAGTTAGTGGAGAAACTGGGATGGGAAGCGCGGCCATACGAATCGATGGTGAGGACAGCGGCGGGTGCCAATCGCCCAATTTTAGGTCGCGTTGTTCTGCCTGTGAAATACGGGAATAGAACGGAAGATATCGTATTTTACATGTGCCCGGACCTGCGACAGGAACTATACCTGGGAATCGACTTCTGGCGAGCCTTTGAGATCGCACCAGAGCTGCTCGGTCCGGCCAGAAAGTCCGAAACACCACCAGAGGCATCTGAGGTAACGGTAGCGAACCCAGAGGTGGCTTATTACCGGGACGACGACGACTGCGTAACGGATCCGGAAATGTGGGACCTGGACAACGATCAGAGGAGTCAGTTGGAAAGCGTGAAGCGCAGATTTCTCCAATTTGAGAAGGATGGCCTAGGGAAAACTCACCTGCTGCAGCACCGAATTCAGCTGATCGAGGGAGCAGAACCCGTGAAAGACAGACATTATCCGCTGTCCCCGGCCAAACAGGAGATCGTGTGGGCCGAGGTGGATAAGATGCTAAAGTTGGGCATCATCGAGGAGAGTGACAGCCCCTGGAGCAACCGGACGACGGTGGTGATGAGGCCTGGGAAGAACAGGTTTTGCTTAGACGCCAGGAAATTAAACAGTGTAACGGTAAAAGACGCGTACCCGCTTCCATGCATCGAGGGCATCCTATCGCGAATCGACGAGACTCATTTTATCTCTAGCGTCGACCTTAAGTTCGCGTTCTGGCAAATAGAGATGGAGGAGAAGAGCAGGGCGTATACGGCGTTTACTGTACCAGGGAGGCCGCTGTACCAGTTCCGCCACATGCCATTCGGGCTCTGCAACGCCGCTCAACAGCTTTGCAGGCTCATGGACAAGGTAATCCCGGCGAATCTGAGGTCCAACGTATTCGTATACCTGGACGACTTGCTGATAATATCGGCAGATTTTCCAACGCACTTAAAATACTTGGAATTGGTGGCCGAGTGTCTGAGGAACGCGAACCTCACCATAGGCATGGCGAAGTCGAAATTCTGCTTCCGCAACCTAAACTACCTGGGTTTCATCATAGGCGGCGGGACGCTGCGCATGGATCCGGGAAGGGTAGAAGCGATCCGGAACATCCCGAATCCGAGGACGGTCAAGGAACTACGAAGCTTCTTAGGTACGGCGGGGTGGTACCGCCGATTCATAAAGAATTTCGCTGAGATATCGGTACCGTTGACTGATGCCCTTAAGAAGAGAACGGGTAGATTTGTGTTGAGCGACGAGGCCATAGAAGCCATAGAGAGCTTAAAGTTAGCCCTCACCACAGCCCCGGTGTTAGTTCACGCAGATTTTCGAAGACCATTCTTCATCCAATGCGACGCATCTCACTACGGAGTAGGAGCCGTGTTGTTCCAGCTAGACGACGAACAACAGGAAAGGCCGATCGCATTCTTCTCGGCCAAACTCAACAAGCACCAGATCAACTATTCGGTGACCGAGAAGGAATGCCTAGCCGCCAAACTGGCCATACATCGATTCCGGCCGTACGTGGAGATGATGCCGTTCACGGTAATCACCGATCATGCGAGTCTGCAGTGGCTTATGAGTCTCAAAGACTTGAGCGGGAGATTAGCCAGGTGGTCCCTCGAACTGCAAGCGTTCCCTTTCTCCATGCAGTACCGCAAGGGAGCCGACAACGTCGTCGCAGACACATTGTCCCGAAGCGTGGAAGAGGTCGAACTGACCCCGGAAGATCTGTTGGGATTTCAGACCCCGGAGTTCGAGAGCACCGAATATCGAGAGCTGATAAGAGAGGTGATGAGCCAACAAGGGAAGTTGCCGGACCTTAGAGTGCAGGACGGACTTCTGTTCAAGAGGACCGTGCACGAGAGCTTGGAGGATGAGGTCGAAGGCACAAGTTGGAAGCTCTGGGTGCCGGAGTCGCTGACGGCAGGACTCATCCAACAAGCACACGCGGACGAGACGTCAGCTCATGGAGGCATGAGGAAAACGCTGCACGCGCTGCGCAGGCAATATTATTGGCCCAACATGGCCATACAAGTCAGGGACTATGTTCGGAAATGCGATACATGCAAGGAGACCAAGGCACAGAACTACCGAATGCAGGTCGGAATTGGGGAAGAAGTGCGCACCGACCGCCCCTTCCAGAAGCTATATATCGACTTCTTGGGGAAGTATCCACGGTCGAAACGAGGGCATGCGTGGATATTCGTCGTCGTAGACCACTTCTCGAAGTTTACCTTCCTGAAGGCCATGAGGGAAGCCACCGCGGCGGATGTCGTGAACTTCCTAGTGCATGAGGTGTTCTTCAAATTTGGCGTGCCGGAAGTGATCCATTCGGATAATGGACGACAATTCGTGTCAAAGTCGTTCGATGCGATGGTCCAGGCGTTTGGCATTACTCACCTGCGCACACCAGTGTATTCGCCTCAGAGCAACGCCGCCGAACGCGTGAACCGCACAGTGCTGTCGGCAATCCGAACCTACCTGGGTCAGGATCATCGGGAATGGGACGCGTACCTACCAGAGGTGGAAGTGGCGATCCGGAATGCGGTCCACAGCGCTACGGGAGTCACTCCGTTCTTCGCGGTCTTTGGACAGCAGATGTACCTGAATGGTTCCAGTTACAAACTGGCCAGGAAGCTGAGATCATTGGCCGACCACAGTATTTCTGACCTTGACGCAAAGGACAGACTGGCTGTAATCCGAAGCCAAGTCAAGGACCACCTGCACACCGCATACGAGCGAAGTCGCCAACGGTACGACCACCGCGCGCGACAGCTCCATCTGGAACCGGGACAGGAAGTGTGGAGGCGCAACTTCGCACTAAGCAGCTTCGGCAAAGCCTTCAATGCCAAGTTCGCCCGGAAGTTCTTGAAGAGCCGCGTCGTCCGAGCCGTGGGAACCAACGCCTACGAGTTGGAAGATCTCCAGGGACGCGTGCTAGGCGTCTTCCACGCAAAAGATATACGAACATAATCGTAATTTGCTCACCTCCTTGCCAGGCAACGGCGGCGGCAGCGCCAGTCCCTCCTTTTTTTTTGGGTCAGCAAAAAAAAATATAGATTACTTGTCGTGGGTGTGGCCTACGTTGGGCATCGTTATTAGCCGGCTGGGTCAATCCATGAAATGCGCACGCAGATTCCTTGTAACTGTCCTTCATGTCGTTACAATAATCTGCGTGGTGATGTTGCATTTGACGTTATCGGCAGCACCGAGGGTTACTCAGTTGGTTGCGTGCGATATTATCGGCCACGCCGATATCTTTTTGGCATATGGTCGGAGTATGCGGGGTGAAGCTGGGCCCACGGCGGAGCCCAAAGTTTTGAAGGGTGGCAACGCCAGACATGCGATCCACGGCGCCAAAAGCGACGATTGCTATTGGCCGCCCGTTTCGCTCTTAAAGGGAATACGAGGAGAGTGGATCGCATGCCCTTGGATATGCCCTTGGCCTTCATTTGGGCCGTTGACCCAAAAAAATGCAGCTGTGCAGATGAGCAGCAACGGTGCCCGCCTCGCAAATGTATGCGTGTGCCGAAATTCGGCACCGATGGTGTGGCTGCCAAAAATGTGGGGGAGTTGGATTTGTTCAGCGGTTAACGGCGGGCGTGCCAGCTCGAAGTGAGCAAAAAAGTTGGACATTGCATTTCTGCTTGACAGAGTAAAATTTTTTCCCTTCTGAAAAATTAAGCCGGCACATAATACCAATGGCTTAACAGACGAATAAAAGTTTTGTTTTTGTGTTCTTTGCCATGTAATAAATTTACATAAATCAAACCGCTCGAATCACAAAGAAAATATAATAAAAAAATTAAAAGAGACTTAAAAATTTAAGTGCGACGAGAGACGAACCAAATAAGCCAAAAATTAACGGCTCCGGCACCAAGGAGACCAGCTCGCGCACCAGAGAGGCCCACGAAATATTCAAGGCCAGGATTCAGTGCAGCGGCGCAAACCAGCCATATCCGCGACGCCGCCAGCAAGCGTCGGCGCAAACGTGAAGGCGACGAGACGAGCCACCAACGACCGGGCTCCAACAACGAAGAAGCGGCCACAGGCGAGACCCCGCCCACATCCACCGAGTGAGTCCGTTCCATTGTTTTGCCCATCCTCGTTCGAGCCCCTGGCAGAGTCAGAAGAAGACTCCTAATTGCACTCCCTGAAAAGGAGTAGATTTTTTTTTTTATCGTTAAATTTGGTTAATTTGTATTTATAAAATATATTCATACATACATAGGCACTTACGCCGAGCTTCACTTTAGAGTGCGAACGGTGAGGAAAACTCCAACGGTGACGCCTCTGCGCCTGTAAAATATAAAAAAAAAAAAAATCTAAAATTAACTCTTGCGCGAACTATGCTCACATATTTACCTAATTTGAATTTACGCATTTATATCGCCCCTTACCACCCCCAGAGAGCTCTTTAGGTAGGGTAAGGTAGAATTAAGCGATTTAATACATACAATACACAATACGTGACATACCCAGTTTTAAGTAATTGTGCGGGCCATTGTTCCTAAATCGGGGCAACGATTGCCTCTAAAGTGCCTCATTGCGCGTTTCTTTTGCGGCGACTAGCAATATCCTTGTAGTGTTTCGTCGCCTGTTCCATTCAGTGTTGTAAAAAAATAAAAAAAATTAATTCTATAAGATAAGAGAAAAATTTAGGAATTAATGCGCTGTGTCAATTAGTATAAGTATATGCAGCAGTAATACGCACCTGTGAAGTTAATGAATTATCCGCTTGCATGAGATCCTAAACAGCTGCAAGATAAATGCCATAAGCAATGATTATGATTGTTATACATTTTAAGAAAACGCAACCAATTATACGCACCTATTGAAAGAAATCATGTCCGGCTAAAATAATATTGCTGGGGAGAGTGGGCATTATGGCCGACACGGGCTAATATAGGCCATTTGGTGGCCAAAATGAGGGAGACGAGTGGAGGTGATCGTCTCATGGTAGGGCGGGTACGCTGGGTCCGGAACCGGGGCCCGATCTGGAAGAGTAAGGTGGATAAATAGTGTTTTTTTTGTTAATTTATATTGAGTGTCTTACCTTTGTTGTTTACATTTTCATAGTTGTTACAGCTGTGTATTTTGTTCATGAGTTAGTAGTTCCGAATATTTGTTATCGATTATGCGGTTCATTTTGAGTAGTGTTGTGTGAGTCTGTTTTGCTACAGACGTGTAGCTTTGTTGTTATCGATTGTGCGGACTGCGGGCCAGGGATGGGACCACACCCAGAGAATCCGATGAGCCTGCCGGCGCGGCCCACTGAGGAACAAGCAGTTCCGTAACAGAAGCAACAAAACCAAACCAAATTCTTTATAAATATATATATATATATAAGATAGTGTATAATATTGTTCAATGCAATTGTAGAAATGAAGTTCAGACCGAAACGTGGACACGTGTCAGCGCTAGTTCCACATCAATGTGAAACACTTTGAAGGCACATATCGGGCGAATACTGCGACGACTATTATGCGAAATTCCCAACGAATTACACAGACAGCAATTTGAACTAATTACAACAAAAAAAAAATAAACATTAAAAAAACGAGTAGTCAGCGCGGATTTCCTTGTTGAAACTATTTGCAATTAATCATACGATTTTCACCCATGTTTCGACCTTGGCAAAAGCTTGCGTAAATCGTTACTAGTTTCAAGGAAAGTAGAGCATCAGGTTTTAGGTTTAAGAAAACTTCGTTTTGATTCGCAGGCATAAAAGCAACAAAGTGTCATAAGCCCATTTTCCACGCATATTCCACGCCTGTGTGAAATATTGCTTGTGCAGGGAATTGGCTGGTCAATCAATCAATCAGTTAATAAAATAAATAAATCATTTTTGCAAGGCACATGCGAAAATTAATTAAAATACGCACGCATTAAAGCAGCAAAATTCCATAAGTCCATTTTCCACTTATATTCCACGTCCATGCAAGGATTTGAATACCCAGTCAGTCAGTCAATCAACAATTGAATAGAAGTAAGCAAGTTATAATACAAGTACAATAATGAAAATTAGTTGTAGCTCGCACGCATTAACAATATTTCACATGTCCATTTTCAACTTATATTCCACGCATGCGTGAGTAATTGTTGGATTAGGGAAATTGGTCATCAATCAGTCAATCAGTTAAGAAAAATAAAAAAAATATAAACAACTTTCACAGGTAACATATGAAAATTAGTTTATATTTCTACGCATTAAATAGACAAAGTTCCAGGGTAACATTTTCCACTTATATTCCACGCCTTTTAGTGGAGTTCAAGACAGTGCGTCGTTCCTCAATCAGTCAATCAGCACAGCTTGTGTGTATATATATACATAAACTATATTGTATTTCTAAAGGCGCTTAATGTTAGCTTAAGATATTTAATAAATTATAATCCTAATAATGCTTTGGTTCTGCCAATAAATTAGACCAGAATTTGGCACTTGTCGCACGAAACCTTTGCGAAACATTCACCTCGAACTGCGGCCGATCGTTGGGCGCATTTTGGAACACATGATGATCGCAAATACCCTCGGGCCGCGACAGAAGAACCGCTTCCGAGCAGGACCTAAGCGACTCCACATTTCTGGGCTTACTAAAGAAAATCCAAACAAATCAGATCTGGGATGCATCCAAATGGATTTGGGATCTTACCCGAACTTGGCAAAGTGCACAAAGTAGCCCACAAAGGATTGTATGAGTCTCGCCTCCGTCGAGTTGCGCTCGAAGTCAGGAAAGAGCATGGGACTGCGGAACAGATAGATCAGATCATCGCAATGGACCACGCCGTATTTGTTGCCCACATTCGCGCTCGTATAGACGGACGCATAGCTGTGCGGGCCCAGATAGTTGAAGCTGTACAAGTACAGTGGCTCCCGGCTAACGTGAACGCTGGCCAAATGCTGCCGCACGGCAGTGTAAAGCGGCTGCTTGAAGCCTCGATCCGAGACGAGCTGCAGTTAGTTGAAGAGGATTTCATTTCTTTTCTTTCTTTTACTCTAAAACTTCTTGCCGTTGCTTACATCGAGGAAGCCCTGTACTGTCTGTTCGCTGAGCTCGTTCCTGTTATGGAAATACTTTTCGCTCACCAGCTGCATCGTGTGTGCCCGCTGCTCCGCGCTGAACTCCCGGGGCAGCTCGAGCAGCTGCTGCAGCAGCTCGTCGAAGCGCCCATTGAAATCCTGGCGCAGCGTCGCGTTCTCCATGATGTTGACCACGCGAACGGCGCCCTCCTCGGGCACGGTGCCCAGCAGCCAGGGTACCGGCCTGTAGCTGCCCTCGGCCAGCAGCGTCTGCGGATGCACGCTGAGGAACGCCTCCTGCTCCACTTCCTCCGCGGCGGTGGCGAAGCTTTGCTCCACGACGGGCCGATAGTTGGCCATGTGATCCACGTTCCAGAACTTGAGACCGTCGCCGGCATTCAGCAGCGTCTCCACATCCACAATGCGGAGAGCGCGCGCCAGCTTGGGCGTGCTCAGATTCCAGGCATTCGCCACCTGGCAGAGCGCAGCGGTTCGGCGCGCCTGCTGCAGCGGCTCCGGCTCTATGGCGAAGGGCACATTGGCTGTGCCGCTCATGCTGATCACCTGCTGGAACAGGCCCGCCGATCGGGCGCTTAGCATGTGCATGTGCGTGGCCACGCCCCCGGCGCTCTGTCCAAACAGAGTTACGCGTCGCGGATCACCGCCAAAGGATTTGATGTTGCGCTGCACCCAGCGCAGCGCCAGCTGCTGATCCTTGAGCCCAAAGTTACCGGGCATGGCGGCGTCCTGCGTGGAAAGGAAACCCAAGGCGCCCAGCCGATAGGCCATGGTGACCAGCAGCACCTCGCCGGTGTCCATGAAGTACTCGGGTCCGGTGAGCAGCGGCCCAGCGGAGCCGCTGAAGAAGCCGCCGCCATGTATGTAAACTAGGACGGGCAGCGGCTGCCCGGAGCGACGCTGCGGATTAGGAAAAGCTGGATTAGGATTAAGAAGAAAATTGAATTCCCTAACCCTCCCCCCCCCTCCCCACACACCTCTGGCCTGTAGACATTGAGGTACAGGCAATCCTCCTGGCCATAGATAATCGGCGTAGGCAGCAGATAGTTCTTCTGTATGCAGTCCGGCTTCGCGGCGTTGGCATTGTAAATGCCGCGCAGCTTGGGCATGATCTTGGGATTCTGGAAGCGAGCCTAGAGCTTAAAACAAAAGGATATGGACTATGCGAACAACTCACGCTGAAGCGCAGCTCGCCGACAGGCGGCTGGGCATAGGGTATGCCCAGAAAGGCCTCGAATCGCTTGATCTGATAGCCCGGCATGTGGATGCCCCTCAGGCAGCCCAAGCTGCTGCCGCACACAAGCAAGGCCTTGGGATTAGTAACCAGCTGTCCGGCGGCCAGTTGGAGCAGGGGCAGCAAGAAAACTGAAGCGAATCCCGCATGAATCATGACGAATGTGTCTTCTGTTGGACCGAAATCGAAGACGAATTAATTTTATGCATAGCTCAGATAATTTATGTATTCATTTGTTTATGGCCTTAAATGAGCTTCTCTTTTGCCGATGATCTCAACGCGAGATCAATTAGGAAATACCATAAGATAAATGTTTTCACGACCAAAATGGTTTCCTTGGCCAAGCCCAAGGGTTTCTCTTACCAATATGTACTCTCTCTCTCTCTCTCTCTCTCTCTCTCGCTCTCTCTCTCTCTCGCTCTAGCTCTGTCTCTTTCTGCGGATACCCTAACGAATGTTTAGACGCGAGCTTTTAACGCGACAGCGCACAAAATTTATCTGACGGCTTTGTAAGCCAAAGCATTCAGTTTTATTCAAACAAAAATTAAAAAATGAATAAATAAGAAAAACTTTGTTGTGTCTTGTGTGTGTGTGTGTGTGTGTGTGTGTGTGTGTCACGCTTTTATGTAGATCCAAAGTTGTTGTCGATATTCAATTAAAAATTTATTCAAACAACTCGAACAAATTGTTGCACACACACGGCGTATACTCAATCGAAAACACACGCTATACAATACGATCCGATCCGATCCGAGAATCGAACAGCTCTTAACTTGGCGCGCGTCTGGAACCCGACCTAGCGAAGATCCCAAGCCGCACTACGAGACGACAAACGATTCACTTTCACTTTTATCCTGTTTCGCTTGCGGCCGTGTTATGCATAAACGAGTGTCTGCTCAAACGAATATATCTACTCGCATTCAATTCTTTTCTTTTGCTGATTTTTTTATTCTTCTTCTTTTTTTTTTGATACCCTAAAAGCGTGGAAAAATGGAGCAAAAAGGGGGTAGCAAAGGCAGCTGAAGTGTTTATGCGAGTCAACCTGAACATGTTTGTCTTTTTAGAGACTTGAAATTGGAACAATATAATATTCTATATCTTACTATATATATACTATATTTCTTCGATGACAAGCAAACAGACTTTTTCATAATATCTATAAGAATCTATACTAAAGACAACTTTTTCGCATAACTCGAAGATTATAGGAGCTGCAAGCGCCAAACTTGGTATCTAGGTTATCCTAAAGCACATATAAAATAATATATATTTTACTTCTTGGATACCTTTCCCCGATTTCACGCGCAATTGAGAAACTAAACTTATTTTTAGACTTAGAGCCTGGCGCTTAAGTTTACACACACTTTTCTACTCCATATTTAAGAACGCAAAATTTCATTTCGATTCGACTAAGGAAAACCGAGTTATTCAAGGCCTCATTTCCTATAGATAGTATGGATTAATGGCAAGAAGTAGCACAGAAAGCTGAAGAGTTTCGGTTGAATTCAGGATATCTTCTAGTCGGTCACGCTCGTCTACTCACTTCGACTTGAAATTTTTTTATCTTCTTTTTTTTTGAGTTATTCTGATAAGACCTGGGCTCTTGATGGCAAGGGGAGCTCCGCTTTTACTTATAAGTCGACCCATTTGAGTGGCTCCTCACTTACATATGATTATAGAAACTGTTCTTTTGTGAGAAAAATCGCTTCACTTACATGCTTACATATGCATAAGACACCGATGTGCATTTTTATAGGTACATCTTGAACTTACTTAGAGCATTATCTGTCTCAGCCAGATGTTGTCTAAAAACTCTATTATTAACACCTAAAAAAAAAAAAAAACAAAGCCAAGTGATAATCGTATTATTTGTAATTAGAGCTCGTATGCATAGATATTCTATTTATATATCATAATATAATAATATAGTATATTTTATAGTATATATATGCAACAAATTTATAAGCTTTTTATTGCTTTCCAGCGTGTCACATCATTTTTACAATATACATCTTTTATTTCTATTTAACTGACCCGCACTGTAACTGGCTTACATATGTGGTTCATACTTTCCATTGTGCTCGCGCTCTTATAGTTGTATTTTTCGCTCCTATAGTTGGACAAAATGTAAATTCATTTGACCTTCGTCTGGACCGCGAACGAGTTCGAGTGCAAAATGGGTCATCTGCAGCTGCAGTTTCAGATAAAAATTCCTTTAGATATGCACATTTAATCAACCGGCAGCCACATTATCACAATAAATATGTAAGACTCTCCGCTTACGTCAATATGGGCAACTGTACTTACTCATGGCCGGCAGGCGTAAAGTTCTTATCTGTAGATACCCTGCAAAGCGCTAAAAGGTATGTAACTGACCAAAAACTCGCAGAGATTTTCATCATCGATCTTTTATCTGTTTATTTCATTTAGTAAATCAATGGAAAATGCTTGTATACGACATTTTGGTCTACGATGCAGACTATGTTTTTGAGTGGCGCCCTTCTTTGCGATTCTCATGAATTCAAGTAAGTCTTCAAGATTATTCATACTTACATTTTAAGTGTCTAATTAATAAGTTGTGTGTGATACACTTCCTCTCTCCCACTCTCCCTTACCCTCTCTTTCTCTTCCTCTCTTACTCCCTATCTCTTAACACCTATCACATTGTATTCCCCTTTTGTGCTTTAGCTCTTGGTCTAACTTGTTTTGTCCCTTCCGTGCTGTGTATATAGAAAAGTGTGTTTCGAAAGTCGCACTCCAAAAGTCCAATATAATTTAAGTATAGAGCTTCTTCCACAGGGCCAGGCCGCGCATATCCACACGTCTCTCGACTGTCTCATGGTAGGCCCCATTCAGCTGTCCAAAACGGAAATAGTTGCATATCTCATCCGAAGTAAACTCCTCAGCTGTGCAGGGCGACAATTGGGTATCATCCGATAAGATGCTAAAGGTAAGTGAAGCAGGTTGAGATATAGATAAGAACATAGATACAGATAAGATGTGGCAACGAGATATAGATAAATATGTAGCTATAAGGATTCGGATAAACCCACCCGTTCTTGGCAAATTCCACCAATCTGGCAGTCAAGCGTTTGATAACCAAATGCTCCTCCGAGCTCTTGGGAAAGTCCAGCATCAGCATGGGCATGCTGATTGAGTAGAGGGCGTCATCCATGTGGCATGCGCCCAGCTTGTCGTAGAGGATGCCACCCGAGAGTATCGCCGCATACGAGATGTTGCTCAGGTACTCGAAATTATAGATCGAGACGGGCTGCTGAGCCACTGCAGCATAGCTGGCGGCGCTCACGAGCATGGGATAGACAAATGTGAAATCGCCGAGTATGCCCGAAAGCGTAGCCAATGTGTCCTCATTCAATTCCATATCCTGCACGCCGTACTCCGTCAGTATTTGTCGCACCGTGTCCTCGCCTGAGCCCTTGGGCAGATAGAGCAGCAGGCCGTAAAGTTCCAAAAAGTTCGCATTGAACTCCTTCCGCAACTGCGGATTCGCAACGGTGTGCAGCAGGAACATGGAGCCCTCGCCTGTGCGCGAAGTGCTGCCCAGCAGCCAGGGCACCTGATTGATGCGTCCGCCGAGGTGGGCCGCCATCGGATACTCATTCATAAAGGACTCGGGCATGTCGGCCTGCTCCGCAACCACACCGTAATTGATAAAGGGCACGTTGTCCCACTGCTTGAAGACATCTCCGGCTGCCAGCAAAGCCTTACCATCGATCCGGCGCAGGGCTGCGGCCAGCGTCTGGCTGTCCAGGCTCTCGGCCTGTGCCACGCCCACGCGCTCGGCCAGCTGCCGAGCCTGCGGCAGCGGATCGTACACCATGGTAGCCGCCATCATCGCTGTGCCGCTCAAGGACATGGCGCGCTGAAAGAGTCCTGCAAGGCGAAAGGCAAGTCAAACGGCAGTTAAGGTCTGAGCCAAAAAAAACGCACCCTTCGAGCTGGGACTCAGCATGTGCAGATGCGTGGATATGCCGCCCGCGCTATGCCCAAAGATGGTCACCAGGCTCGGATCGCCGCCAAAGGAGGCGATGTGCTGCTGCACCCACTGAAGCGCCAAGCGCTGATCCTTCAGCCCGAAATTGCCGGACATGTGCGCATCGCCCGTGCTCAGGAAACCTGAGGAGAACCCATTAATATGGAAGCTTTAATGCCTCAACAGTTGTCTCACCAAATGGACCCAGGCGATAGCTAACTGTGACCACAATGACCTGCTGTGTGTCCATGAGGAACTCCGGCCCACTGGCCATCGGGCAGGCGGAGCCGCACAGAAAGCCACCCGAGTGTATGTAGACCATGACGGGCAGAGGATTCGCATTTGGTTGCTGCAGCGGAACAGGCTGAAAATTTGTATCAATTATATATATATATCGCATTCTACTCACAACGGGTCGGTAGACATTCAGATAGAGGCAATCCTCCTCGCCGGAAACGGGCCACGTCTCCATAAAGTAACACTTTTGCAGGCAATGGCTGCGTGCCGCGCTGGCATCCAATACGCCCGTCCAGCCGCGGGCAGCGACGGGATTCTGCATGGATTACAACTGTCAACTAAGCTAAATCAACAGCTTTGCCAGCATTTCACCTGGAAGCGCAATTCTCCGATGGGCGGCTCGGCAAAGGGTATGCCCATAAATGCTTCGAATTGCGCCTGCTCCGGCTTATATCCTGGCATCAGGGTGCCGCGCATGCAGCCCAGCTCCTCCTTGAGACACACATCCAGATCGCCAGCTGCTTCGGCTGCCAAGACCACGAAATAGATAACGCCACACAGTATGCTCCTCATCTCGCTTGGCTTTCCAAATAGACACATTAACTACTTCATTAGCTCGCTTTTATAGGCCTGACAATTGCGTGTTTATGCCTCCAAAGAGGCGGGGGCGTGGTCAGGTGAGCGCATCAACAATTTAAGCAAACACTGTGATTAACTAAAAACGCTTATTAACTATTTAAAATCGATGACAGAATTGTGGACAGCATTCCTGTTGCTAAAAGGCCAAACAAAATCAATATATATATCATTTAATATTTTTTAAGATTTATTTAATATTTCAATATTTGTTTTCGTAAGATAAACAATTTTTTTTTTAATAATAATAGCATTTATTTTATAATAATAACAAAAGAAATATCTCAAGCCTAGTTCTAGTTCTATTCCATGTCTTTATGTTTTTATGGCAATCTTTTATAGCAAAGAGTTGGCAGAAAATTATATTAAGACATCATTTGCTTAAATAAAGTTGCCAGCTTCGCTCATCTATACGTAGAATTAATCGTGCTCATGCTATTATTTATAAATGACATGTTTTAAATAATAGTAATCTGGCTGCAAGGGCCGGAAGTGCAGTGGAAAAGCAGTTTGATCAAGAATATATATATACTATATATAGCCGCAGATGCCACCTGCTGCCTGTTAAGATTATATCCTTGGGATGAGGGCATATGGATATATATATTTGGTTCAAAGTGAAGAAATTGTGTAAAAATTTAGGCGAAATAATTTCAAAGAATATATATTCCATCTACTTGAGGAGCTTGAGATCCTCATAGACATTTTCTGTAACTTTTTTTTTTGATGTATAAAAAATGTCCTAAAATATTAAAAAGCCAGTTATTGTCTTCTTTGTTCGTATCAACAAAGTAATATTTATTTTCGATCGGAAACTTTACTGTATTTGTGAAAATTGTTTGGTTTACAGTAGAGACGCCGCCAACCAAGCAGCCACTAATTATAGACTTAATAAAAAGTTTGCGATTACAGCTAAACACGCATTCATACAAAATAAACTTATCAGCTACGAGTTACAAATAGATCTATGTGAATGAACTAACAAAAGCATATGTATATTATGTCTACTACTGGGAGTTAAATGGCCGTCAGGCTGCGTCGCTGCGCTGCACTCAAGTCGGGATGCCAAAGGTCGACAATTAGCACCAAACGTAGCTGGGTTCCATTGTGCCAGACCTCGTGCTCGAAGCTATCGTCAAAGATGAACAAGTCGCCCTCTTGCCAGGTGCTGTGCGGGACAGAGAAATTGGATAAATAATAAATATATTTCGAATGTTTGTGAAAATAGCCTTTCTATGTGATTCTCACACATTCAAATACTAATAGACTTTAATAGAATTACATGTTATCAGCTTTATATCAATCAATATTTAAATTTTTTAAAAAGTAAATATAGCACCCTTCTATGCGATTCTCATGAATTGAAGTAAGTTTCACAGACTTTTAGTGTTTCAGTGTAAAAAATACCCTATATTTTGCTTAAAAGTGATCGAATCAATGCATAGATATATATTCCGCCTCTTTTATATTCCCCTTTAAGTTTAAGATACCCTTTTAAGTATTACTTTTAATTGTGGGCAATCTTACCGCTGATGCTCGGCCACACGCAAACTAGTCAACTGTGGCTCCGGCGCGACCAGCGTGAGATGGGCGCGCAGTCTGCAGTTTGTGGGTCCGCAGTGTGGCCAGACGTGAGTCTGTGCCTGCATGGCGCTGAACTTGATCTGGCCACGGCGACAGCTGCTGGCGGCCGGAAATCTGTCGAGCAGCGCGCAGGTGACGGGCGCCCGCTGACAGTTGCTCTCCAGGCGCTTGCCCCGGGCATAGAGCTCGAACTGCTGCCAGTTGCCCGTGTCGCGCAACTGTTCCGCCTCCAGCTGAAAGTTGCCCTGGCCGCCAAGCAGCGCCAGCGCCTCGGCGCGTATGGCACGCCAGTTGCGCTGCAGTTGCTCCAGCTGGGCGGCCTGGCCAGTCTCTGCGGGCTGCCAGAAGGGCTGCGCACGCAGCCCAGGCACATTGTACAGCGAGCGTTGATAGACGCTGGCAAAGAAGCCCCTGTCCGCGCCGCGCCGATACAGCTGGAGCGCCTGCGTCTGCCTGCCCAGACGCTGCAGTGTCTCGCCCAGCGCCAAATAGAAATATGGCTCCTGTGTGCCCGCCGCACCAGAGTCAATGGCCCGCTGCAAATAGGGCAAGGCGCCGGCATAGTCGCCCCCGAGCTGCTTGAGCGCCAGGCCAAAGTGCAGCTGCGCCTGGGGATCATGCGGCCAGCGTTCGAGTGTCTCAGCTGCCACCTGCTGCAGCTTGACCAAGCTGCAAGAAAGCAAGAGTTAGGCTGGATTTAATGAGAATAAAAAGGACCACAACACACCCACTTATTGGACATCAGATGGCTGAGCGAGAGCTCATTGCGCAGCTGCGCCTCATCCGGATAACGCGCCAGCAGCTGCTCGTGTATGCCAACCGCCTGCTGTGTGCGACCTGCCAGAAGTTCCATGGGGCTCAGTTCTCTTCCACTCTCTCCCACACTCTCTCTCTCTCCCCCTTGGACTCACCCAGAAATCGCAGATGCTGAATGCAACGCACGCCAGCGGCACGATAGTCGCTGTCGCCGACGCCGTCGCTGGCGATTAGCTCCTCGAAGGCCAGATAACGCTTGTAGGATTCGATGGCATCGAGGAGCAGCTGATTGCTCTGGCGCAGCTTGGCGAGGCGCTCCAGCGCCCGCGCCCGATGCAGATGAGCCGCCGGCTTGTGTGCGTGTGTGTGTGTGAGCGTGTTAAAATCGCGCAGAGCTTTCGCATAGTTCTGGGTGTTAGGTTTTTAGATTGGACAAGGGTTTTTTTTTTTGGTGGTTAAAAATAACATGCAAAATAGAGCGTAGATTAGCAAGAGAGTAAAGCATTAATAAGACGACTAGCAAATACCCTGTAAACAGGCTTACACATAATTGTTAACACACAGATATTATTATTGATAAAGGGTTAAGTTGGGGCCAAACCTGATAATGTTATAAAGAAAAACTTAACTATATTAAATTAGGTTTAAATTTTTAACCCGACTGAAACATGAAATTGTTTACAGTTTCAAATGTGAATACTCAAAACAGTTCTTCATTTAAGATTTCAATAAATAATTAATTTTTAAATCAGGGCTGCAAAAAACTTGTCGTTTGTTTCGGTTCACGTTTCGGTTTGAATGAACTGGTTCAATTTTCAATCTATAACTGCCCGTTGTACTGAAAATATTTGCAAGTCTTTAATATTGTCACACACAAAATGCGGGCTAAATTTCAACTCTACCCAAACTTGGCATCTAACAAACATGTTTAGATAAATGCAATGCTTGGGAACAAAGTTATTTATGCTTTGTTTGTTTAAAGTTAAGTCAAAGTCGAAAATTATTTTGCAGCCCTGTTTCAAAATACTCAATTTTTGAACTGATGCCAAAGTACGTATTGAGCTAAGCTTGAACTAAGAAGAACTTCAAATAGTTCTGCGCTCAATTAAAAAAATGTGAATTAAACTTAAAATATGCAATTTAGGACAATTAAAAAGTATTAAAATTAAAGTTTTTAAGTGAGTTCTTTTAAAAAAAAAAACACAGTTGCCTTGGGACTGACTGCAAGAGTAGGTGGGTGTGTCTAGATCTTGCAGCAGTTTTTATCACTAGTCCTAAAGCAAATATGTTTTTACTTGCCTCATTCCCTAAATTCTTCTGTTGCAAATGTCTTAAAAGCTAAGCACAAGAACTTAACAAAAGCGAACATTAATTAAAGCTATGCTAGATGTTTTGTTTTAATGTATTGTGTTTGGTTTAGTGATTGTTGAGCTAAGTTCAAGAGAATTTCAGAGATCTTAAAGTAGAGTTCCGCAGAATTATTTATATATATGAAAAACTTACCTCATTGATCATTTCGGCATTGGCCTGACGCAGCTGCTGCTCGAACAGATCATCCTCCGCGGACTGGGCGCCAGTTGGCTGCTTGGGTTTTATTTCTGAGAAGAAATCGAAATTAATTTTGTATTATTTTATTTTATTTTTATGATCCTATGGTAAGCATTAAAGACACCACTGAGGGGTTAATGTGTGTGCGGCTCCACCTTATATACGTAGGATTAGCAATTCGATTATAGACTATGGACTTACTATGATTATTTTACGTATAGCTTATGCCATGAACTTTAGAATAAATTATAATACGTGTTTATATATGTCAGATATGCAGATGGACTTGTAGATTGCTTGTAGACTGATTTTGATTTCGATTTGATTTGATTTGATTTGATTTGTTTGGTGTAAATTGTACATTTAGTAATTACGTGTCCAGGTCGGATCATCGGAGTCTGGATCGCTTTCGTACTCCTTGGCCGGCAGTCGGCCGTATTTGGCTTCCAATCTGCTCATCAGTTCCGCATCGTCCACATCTGAAATCTCGTCTTCCTCCTCGTCGCTGATCAATTCGTCGTCGCTTTCATCGTGTTCATAATCTTCGATATCGCCATCTTCGTACTCTACATAAATGTCCGTGGCTGTCGTTGCCTCTGGTTCCAGTTCAGCTTCCTGTTCCAGTTTATCTGTCGTTGGTTCCGGTTCTGGTTCTTTAGCTGCCAACGTTTCGGTTGCTTCGCTTGTCTTCAGCTCAGTTTTGGGCCTAAACATGGCACTTAGCTGCTCGAAGGTTTCCGGCACATAGCTGGCCGTGATGGCCACATTATCATCGCTTTCCTCCAAATCGCTTATCTCCACTTCGATTTCCTCCTCGATTTCGATCTCCTCTTCGGAATATTCGTCTTTATTTTTGTTGATGGAAATAGGCAAGTATTAATAAAACCCTCAAAAAAGAAACTTCATTTATTGTTCGAAATAGCTTCAAGTGGCACGACTTGAAATTATTTGGAACCAAATTCGGACAGACCGAAGTTCTTTATAGTATCTGAATAGTATTGTCAACCATCATCAAGCGGCGGCAGCTCCTCCCCATCATCGGGCAGGTTATCCTCGGCGGTGGCAATTGTCAGTCGACGTCTCAAATTCATCTCCGGCGAGGGCTGATCCTCAGCTGCTAGCAGAGATTAGTATGGTATATATATATATATAAATATATATAAATATATATGATTGGGAGTCAACAACAAGGCAGCCAAACAAAATTAACTTTACATACATACATTGGCGCATAAGTTTTAACAGTTTTAACAAAGCTGTGACTACAATTAAAACAACAAAAAATTGCATTAAGCTTAAGTCTAATTATTTTTTTTTTTACAAAAAATAAAAACAATAAAAGAAATAAAAATAAACATCAAATGAAGAAAGTGCAAAAATTTTTGTTCGTATATTCGAATCAGTTTTTGTTAAGTTAATTTTAAAAGTTAGTTGAAAAATTTGACGACATTTTAAGGTGCATTTCACATGTTTCCGTCAAAGTTAATGGTAAAAAAATTTACAATCAGGTTTGCCAAATGTTAAAAATGTGGCAACGCTCTAACAAATTGGCAGCACTGAACATGGTGAAAAACTCAACAGGCAAATTTACTTGGACGTTAAACTTTGACAAGAACATGAGAATGTAGGCCTTTCAGGGTTGATTTGACATTACGTTTCCATTCAACATAGAGTATTTTTTATTTTTTCTGATTATCATCGAATGCTGGGCGGTTAAGAACGTAAAGCGACCATCAAAAAAAAATAGATATATTTAAGAACTGGAAATGCCAGATGACATTTAGTTTGGATTTAGACCAGAACAGTTCTTGGGTTCTTAGTAAGCAGCGATGTGAAAGAGTTTCGTTAACAAAGAGCATTACTTGGTAAATTTATTTGGCATTTAGCAGCGATCGATAACTCACTTGTATTTGGATTTTTCCGTATCAATACAAGGCGTGAAACAAGGGCAAGTGCAATGCCAACGCCAAATTTAACGGCAACTGGAAAATGATTTACGGTTAAATAAACAATTCAACAATTTAACGAAACATTTAATTCATATTTCATTTCATTTTGCACTTTCTTGTACAACTTTTTTTCAAATGTTAACTAATTTTAAACCTAATTCAAAACGTATAAAGTGGAGCCCCACACATCTAACCCATTGATTTTGTAGCCTAATCTCTGAAAGTTCCAAGGAATACTTACGTGATCCCAGCCAGGATGCGGTTGTGATTGTCTCTGCGGTGTCCTCTGGACCCGGATCCTGCTTGGCGTGCTTGGCTCTCGCCTCGGCAGCCGCTTGACGTTGACGCTCCTCAGCCTCGTTGTCGACCTCCTGATCGAGGGATTCAAATTCATCCTCATCGTTGTCATCCTGCAAATATCCATTGGATGTTCAGCTTAAAGCTTAAGTTTCTTAATTCAAACCTGTTCAAAATCTTCATCATCATCGTCGTCGTCAACGTCTGGCGCACTTTGTTGTGCTGGTTCTATGGACTCTTGAGGCTCTTCGTCCTCCTCAGCAGCATACTGAAATAATACACAATTTTCTAAGAAATTATTATATGCAAAAATATATGCATGTATATATGTATGTATGTATATGTGTGTGTATGTATGTATGTGCGTGTATATGCATGTATGTAAATTGTCTTATAAAATATCAACAGAAGATGAAATTGTCTTGTTGCGCGGAAAATTTAAATAAAAAAACGTATTTGTTGAAGCTGCCCTCCTCCTCGATTCTCAAAAATTTAAGTAAGGCTCGCAGACTTCACCTTCAATTTAGGCCCAGGCGGCTTCAACGCTGGAAGCTGAGGAGCCGGAGGAGCAGGAGGAGCACCAAGGGGGCGGAGCAGGTGTGTAGGTATGTAGGTATGTAGGTATGTAGGTATGTAGGTATGTAGGTATGTAGGTATGTAGGTATGTAGGTATGTAGGTATGTATGTATGTATGTATGTATGTATGTATGTATGTATGTAGGTATGTATGTATGTATGTATGTATGTATGTATGTACGTACGTACGTATGTATGCATGCATGCATGTATGTATGTATGTACATATGTATGTTAGCTTCTATGTAAAGTTAACAGAGAAAGGCGTGTAAATACCTCATCATCATCATCGTCATTGTCATCGTCAGCCTTTTCTGGCGCACTTTGAGCCTGAGATTGTGAAATGGTTGGCTCAATAGACTCTTCCAGCTCTTCTTCGTCAGCGTCCTCCTCTTCTTCCTCCTGCAAGTGTGTATGTATATTAATCTATCTATTGTATATATATTGCATAAATGCTCTTTCTACCTCTTCAATATCGTCGTCATCGTCTTCTTCAACTGTTTCGGGTGCGCTTTGAGCTCTAGATCTGGAGACGGGCGGCTCAATGGACTCCTCGACCTCATCGTCTGCATCCTCCTCCTCCTCATCGTTCTGCAAATGAATTAAGTTTTTATATGAAAGTTATATGGAAAATTGATTTATTTACCTCATCGGCATCATCTGCCACCGACTGTGTTGGCTCAACGGATGCTTCAGGCTCTTCCTCCCGATCGTCATCCTGAAAAAGGCAATTAATTAGCTTAAATTCAGAAGCGGATGATTCAATTCTAGCCTCATCATCATCATCTTCATCATCTTCAGCTGTTAGATTTTCAGCGCCAGTATTCTCATCCTCTTCGGCCTCTTCCTCCTCTTCGTCAGCTTCATGATCCTCCTCCTCTTCGCCCGAATGCTGATCATATGCCTCATCAGGCTCCTCGTCGTGCTCATCGTCGTGTTCATCGAGAGCTGCTTCGGGCGAGTGATGGGCATCGTGCTCCTCCTGGCGATGCTCCTCTACCCAACCATCAAAATAGTTGGAATAGCGGGATTCCGACAAGGGCGTGTCCACTGAAAGGGGCATCAGTTGAGATTAAACCTTGCACAATTGTGATATATATTTATATTGACTTACAATCCTCGAGGCCACGATTCTCCATAATGATGAGACCGACAAGGCCCAAGAGCACGGCCATTAGGGAGAAGAATATTATCTTGGCGCACCAGTGTCCGCCCGTGCCGTGCTGCTGCTGCACGTGCAGGTGCACATCATCGTTTCCCATCTTTGTGATGTGCACGCCGTGGGAAGACGAATCTTCGTCATCTGTGAGTCCGCGGCGCGATTGAAAAATGAAAATGAATAACAATATTCACATGTGACACGAATCCCAATTAATTAACTAAACAACGAACTGGGAACGTGAACGTTTAGTAGTAGCAACGAGAATTAGTCAGTACTAGTTGCTAAATTGGACTGCAGTCGGGCTCTGGGCATGGATATGGGATATATATATATACTATATATAGACAAGATGTGAATCTCTACCTTGAAAGCTGGGCTGGCGCAATACGCTGACATCGCCGTCAGATTTGCGTTCATCTAGACGAAAAGTTAGTTACACTGGTTAAAACAAGTAACAGTTGTTGGGAAAGAAAGCAAAAGTAAAACATAAAACGTTCCCCAGTTCAGGCGACGAACTAGAACTAGACGACGAGCTGATACCCTACGCAACTCATATAGTCCATGAGTCTATGCGTATGTTACTTTATACAGACGAATATTGCTAGATCAGGACGAGTTTTTATGCTGATTAAAAATATATCTTTATATATTTGATTTTTATGTTTATATTTTTTTTATTTATTTATTATTTATTTATTATTTACTTATTAATTATTTTTTATATATTTATTATGATATCACATATGGGAGATGCTCAGATTCTGCCTATTGCATAAAGACACAACAACACATCATGCCCTTCTCACACATATAACGGGTACAGGGTATTAAGATACCATGATAACAGAACGCTCTCTTATAAGATAATGATGAGAGATATGTTTAGTTGTTGTTGCTGTTGTTGTTGTTGTGTTTGGTGTTGATGCAAAACAAAGAACGCGCAAGTCATGCGCTTGGGCACATGGCCAAAAGAAAAATCAAATAAAAATAAAAGAAAACTGTACAGAGTGCATAGTATATTTGAGCGTGTGTATGTCTGTGTGTGTGTGTGTGTGTGTGTGCGTGTAAACTTTTGTGTGTGCGCGTGTGTGTGTGTATATGTGAAAGATGTCCAAACTGTAGTGGGTGTAACGTCTGGTCACGGAAGTCTCTTGACTTTGTGCACTTATTTAATTAATAACATTGCAGTCTAATAATAATAAAATTAATAAATTTCATCAAAATTGTCATGGCAACGATCTTGTTCTTGATTCCAAATTCAAAATCGGACAATTCAAGATTAAAGACATGGTGCGAGCGTGCGAGCGAGCGAGCGAGCGAGCGAGAGAGAGAGAGAGACCAAATCTACCGGCATTTGTTTATGTTGTTGTTGTCCTGAGCACAAGATAAATACGCTTTTATCTTAAATCTGCTTTGCTCCGACTTTAAATAAACACAAACGGAATGTTAAGCAGAACAAAATCAAGATATGCGATTCCTCAGCTCCACTTGTGAACAGTTAACCAGCATTTATTTTATGATAGCGCGTTTCTCAACAGATCATAAAAGCATATATATTCCTATGCATACATACATACATATATATATATATATATATATATATGTTCTGCTCGGCACACGCATAGCGACAAACGGCTGAGAGCAATGTATAATTTTATATAATAGGGCAAAGTTATTTTTAAAGGCGCTCGACAATATTATTATTTCTAATAAAAGAAATGGACAGCTACGCTTTTGGGCTGCCGCAAATGTGTTTAGAAAACTGTTTTTTTTTTTTCGTTTCTTTTTCATCGCTTACCACGTTTTTTGCGCTTATCCTTGCGCTTTCGCGGCTGTACATCGCCCGACATATTCAACTAGTTGCAACGCGCTAAATGCCAATTTCCTGGCCGTATTTGATTTCAGTACCACGGTATGTTTTTCTTTTGGCTTTGCTGCTCTCTGCTTTGCTGCCTTGCTGCCGAAACCGAACGGCGAACAGCTCCAACGCGATCACCGCACGTAACTAAACCGAACCGAACGAAAATCGTGCAGCTGCTGTCGGGCGAGCTTTTATTCGCTTTAACGCAAATAGCGGGAAATCGCTTTTGTTTCTTTTTTTTCTGTCGTTTAAAAAGTCAAAATTTCTGATTTAATATAGAACTGTTCGTCCTTTAAGTCATTATTTGCGGTTGCATAATATTTGAAAATCAGTTAAGTTTATAGCTATAAGTTTTTATAGCATCCAAATTGTTTACGATTAATCGTTTACTCCTTTCGATTAACACATTATCGATTTTGCCTCTATGCACATTATTGGCAATCTTTGCATTAACATCGTGCAATATCTACTTTAGTTGTTCACACATCGCCGTCCTTTGCCATAATCTTGCGCACTTCTCGCATCAGCAGCCACCTAGCTTCAGTATTTTTGGTATTTTGGTATTTGTGCAGCCATGGTCACACCAATTGACTACCATAAAAGTTACAACAACAACAAATAGAACGGAACGAGGGAAAACAACCCAACGCAATTATGTATAGATACGATTGAAGTTGAAGTGAACAAACGCCGTAGAAGGAACCGGGCCTAGTGCAACGTTGTGGTAAGTGAAAAACAGCAACAAATGAAAATAATGTGAAAAGCAGCCTATGCATATGACTAATTGGCAATACAACATAACAGGCCAGGGGCTGCAAACTACGCACTGTTTTGGGCGGTCAGACGACCAGCGACCCAGCGGCAGCGGCGACGGCGGCCGACGACGACGACAATTAGCCACGCCTTTGGAGCAAAGCAGTGATGCCAGCTATGGCCGGCGACATGTCCATTGGCTGCGCCGCACTCAAACGATCCACGAAACTGAAGAGCTGCACAAGCGGCGCCGACACAGACTCGATGCACTTACCCAACGATCGCAAGCAAAATGGCACTAATATGGGCCTGCTAATTAAGCCACCAAGTGCACCGCAGAATATGCGCGGCGGCCTTCGCGTCTATAAAGTTGTCATCTTGGGCGACGGCGGTGTCGGCAAGTCCGGTAAGTGGTCAACAGTTAGCGAGTTAATCTCTGCTGCGCATTTTGATTTGGTGCCCGTGAAAAATCAATAAATTATCTCAATTTCTTTTACGCTTTGTTTTACAACCACCCACAAACCAACCCCCAAATTGTATGTGCTTCGTTTCGTGCGTTCGGCTAACTTTGCGTGTACACACTCGCGCGCACACACACACGCACACACACACGCACACACACACACACACACTGACAACAGCTGTTACTCTGCAGTTCGTCAGTCACAGTTTCTTGGACTACCATGACCCCACAATTGGTGAGTGCGCCGCCTCCTCCTCCTCCTCCTTCTCCTACTGCCGTTGCCATTAGACCTTTGAACTTATCTTTTCTGTGCACAGAGGACTCGTACCAGCAACAGGCGGTGATTGACAATGAGGCCGCTCTGCTGGACATACTCGACACTGCTGGTCAGGTTGAGTTTACGGCCATGCGGGACCAATATATGCGCTGCGGTGAAGGTTTCATAATATGCTATTCGGTGACCGATCGTCACAGCTTTCAGGAGGCATCCGAATATCGAAAACTGATCACACGCGTACGCCTGTCCGAGGACATACCGCTGGTGTTGATAGCCAACAAGGTGGATTTGGAATCTCAGCGACGTGTCACCACCGAGGAGGGCAAAAATTTGGCCAATCAATTTGGCTGCCCCTTCTTCGAGACATCGGCGGCCCTGCGTCACTACATCGACGAGGCGTTCTATACGCTGGTGCGCGAGATACGCCGCAAGGAGCTGCAAAAGGCGCTGGGCACGGACAACAACTCCGAGAAGATACATACACGACATCGTAGCCGCTGGTGGCGCATACGTTCCATATTCGCATTGGTCTTTCGGCGTAGACGCAACCTAAACTGAAGCCTGCAAATTCCTCGGTTCGCATGCGCAACTAAGTGCAATATTAATTAATGCGTTAAACTACGTATATATATAAATATATATATATTTATTTGGCTATATATATATATATACGGTTTGCACACCGATCGTATATATATATATATGTATCTGTATATGTTATGTGTTGACACACCTAGACGTCTAATCATTTAATGAAAAATGAATTTATCAAATGCGAAACTATTGTAATCGTTCAGGCCAATGGCAACAGCTAAGCGACATTGTCAGAGCTTCAACTTTTGTTGTTTGTTTCCATATATTCCTTAAATTATTTAAAACTGTTTTCATTTGTTAACTATGCCACATTGTATTTGTTGTATCTGTATTGTTAAGGTGCTAGACGCCAGGCAGCGCGACGCACAGTGGTACGAAAGAGAGTATATGAAAGAGATATATATATATAAATATATAGTTATGTATATCAATATGTTTAAGCACGAATCCAAAAGATACATATTATAGCAAATGCACATACGTATATATATAGTAAATAATAAGAATGTTGATTCCTAACGCAAACCAATTGGCAAAGGCAAAGCAAAGGCAAATGCAAAAGAAAAAACGACAACAATCAAACCGAAAGAAATGCATTTAAAATTACAACTTTAACTGAAATGAAACCAAATGAAAATTAATAATAATAGAAAAGATATGTAATCAAAATATGAAACGAAACTGAGTCCTAGTTGAAGCCAACAGAGCAAGCTATAGAAACATATATGTATATGTATGTATATAAATATGGACAATGGTCAAGTGTACATCATAGAGAGCTTTAAAACTGTCCAACAAGAGCGAGGAATAATGTATTATGTGCATGTATTATTATTATAATTATAATTATTCTGGCAGGCGCAACGCAGCACGCACATTAAACTAATCGAATAAATGTTGAATTTAAACGTATGTATACTAAAGACATCAAACGATATAAGACGAATCGATTGATTTATATTCCGATTGATTGATTGATTGATTGTAATGCACAGAAAACGCAGCAGATGTACAGCCAATGCATTGTTCAATGTGATTTTTGTTTAAATGTACTATATATATTTTATGCGTTTGCATTTGTTGCTTAAGTTTTATAAAATGTTTAACTTGTTGACTTGTCTAAGTTTATTTATTATTATTGTACTAAGTTAAGCTGTTCTGTGTTTTTTTTTTTTGTTAATTACTTTTTAACATTCATGACATTTGCTAAGCATCACCATGAGTTCCTCACGTCAATGTTACTGCAACACAGTCTATGCTATTTGTTTTTAAACAAACAAACAAAACAAAAAAGAACAATTCAAAATTGTTAAATGAATTCAACTAGTTTGTGTTTTAAGCATAACCAAACCAAAATAACGAGCTATGCAAATTGGTAAACGAAACTTTGTTATTTGTATGTTTAATTTTTTTTTGTCAGTTAATTGAATGCGGGTAAATGGAAAGCAAGCTTTCCACAAAAAAAAAACGAAAAAAAAACAAAGAAAATGTTAAATATATATCAACTATGATTATGTATTCCCCATGAGAAACAATAACTAACTAAACTAGAAGTTAGTAGCCCGAGTATTATAATAGAAGCACAATCTGGTTAATCCAGCTGAAGATTGTTTTGTTTTTGGCATTATTCGATTTTGAGCGCTTCGAGCGTTTCAAAGAAAACTATTTAATTCATACATTTTAAATGTACAAGAAATAAATGATAAACGACAACAACACAAAAAAAAAAGACCCCAATAAAGATTTTTGAAACCCCGTTAAAACGTCTCCCATATTTTAATTGCTTCGCTTAGTTTAAGAAGTTTTTAAATAAAACCCGTTTTTGCTGGTAAATCTTAAGCTTATCCCGGATCTTAAGAGTTTATATAGTATATAGAATATTTGGACGCAGGATATATATATAGTCAGCGTCAGCTCTGAGAAGTCGGTCGGCTTATGATATCTGAGACTTCAAATTTTGTATCTGTATTATTCAGAATTATTTACTTCTTGGGTACCTTTCCCCCTTCCACATAGTTCTGCTAATATACTTTTAGATTCCTTTCGTGATATTCAAAAAAAACAACGAGCAATTTTGATTTTTATGTATTTTTTTTTTATTTTTTATTTATTTATTTAGTAAAATATTCTTTTTTGTTTAAATTTTGAAAAGAAATGATTTTTGTTGGTATTTTCTTTTGTTTTTTTTGGTTTATGTATATGTATACATATACACATATTTAATTTAATTTTGGTAATCTGGTAAATGTGTGTTTTTTTTTTATTTTGTTGTTGTTTTTCTTTTGTTTTATTGTATAGGAAGCAAAACTTTGAATGCACAAATTTACAATTACTTTCGACGCATTTGCAGCGCGGTTTTTGTTTGTTTTTTGTTCTTCTTGTTTAAATTGTGTAATAGTAACTGTAGAAAATAGTATATATATATATGTATATATACACATACATAGATGCATATATGTATATATAGCATTTGTAGAAAACGGCGCATATTTTTTTTTGAGTGTGTGCGAGAATTACACGATTTGACGGTACAAAATACAAAAAGAGACATACACATATATGTACTATGTATATATATATACATACATATATATATATATATATGTGTGTGTATATTGGTATTTTATAAAATCATAAAATACGCTTATTTTGTTTTAATGCAAAATACAAATATTAAAAACTCGAACTTGCACTTGCACATGAACAAATTTAATGCATCTCACTTGTGGCTTATGTTTAAACATATTTCTCATTTTGTGTATTTGTTTGCAAAGTACTATTCATATATATATATATATATATATTTCTCGTTTTAGTTTATTGGCGGTCTCTGTTTGAATATATATATATATATATGTGTGTGTATATATATGAGTCAAAAAAGTTGTAATTGGTATGTTTATGAATGCTTGCATTTTAGGCTCTTTCAGTATTTTTTTTTGTAGTCCGTTTTTATCAGAATATAAGAGTTTGAAAAAAAAATGAATAACTGCATCATCACTAATCAACACACACACACACACACACGTACGCACGCACGCACACACATGATCAGTAATGTATTTGTAGACATTTTGTTGTTGGCTTTTAATCTCAAAATCAACGGATGCAATGATATATATATATATAGGACATTGTAGTGTATGCATACATAAAGGGTGTATATATATATATGTATATATACGAGTAAGTATGTATTGGTAGTTTGAGTGTTGACTGATTTCGACGCCGTCACATTTACAAATAATAATAATAATATTAATGCGATATTTATTATTGTTGTTTACTTCGGTTAATAACTACTCTAGACTGTATATAAAATCAAATCCGCATTTGACATTTTGCCCGTTTCATGTTGTTGTTGTTGTTGTTGTGTGTGTTGCTTGTTGTTGTAGTTTGTAGCTTTCGGTAGTTGTTGTTGATGTTGTTGTTGCTGCTGCCTGTTGTAGTAGCCGGATTCCGCATGCTATCTGGTTACAGTAGTTGTTAATCTTGTAAAATGTGTGTGTGTGTGTGTGTGTGTGCTTGTGTATGTATAGAAATTTGTTATTTGCTCTTTTAGAGCAAAAGGCATTTGGGCTTCTTCCGTTTTTTAACTTGCAGTGCAGCCCTGGTTGCTGTCTCGAATACCTCTCGCACACCCTCCTTGGACTTGGCCGAACATTCCAAATAGGCAAAGGCATTAATTTTCTCAGCCATAGCGCGTCCCTCCTGCGGCTTAACCGGCTCCTGCTTCATCTTTGCCAGATCCTGTGCGAAAATAAATGAATGTCAGTCAATCTGAGTGTTCATATTGGCATTTTGTCTGTTTAAAAAACTTACCCGAATTGTGTTGGGATCATTTCGCAAATCTTTCTTATTCCCTACCAAAATGATTGGAACATTGGGACAAAAATGTTTGACCTACAAAATGGGTTGGTCATTTAAAAACATTTTGAGTTAACTAAAAATTGATTGAATATTTACCTCTGGCGTCCATTTTTCGGGAATATTTTCTAGCGAATCGGGTGAATCGACTGAGAAACACATAAGTATTACATCAGTGTCTGGATAGCTCAGCGGTCGCAGTCTGTCGTAATCCTCTTGACCAGCTGTATCCCATAAGGCCAACTCCACCTGGATACAATAAAAGACAAAATCACGTTATTAAGATGTAAGTGAACATTTGTATGTATGTGTGTGTGTGTGTGTGTGTATATATATGGAGTGATAACGCCCGTTAAGTTGGCAATTATGTAGCACAAAAGCCCGTTTCCATCACAAAGACGCAAACGCAGACGGAGACGGAGACGGAGACAGAGACGAGAGTCAACTTGAAGTCAAGTTGAGAAAGATAGCAAGGAACTGGCGGAAATGCCAAACGTATTAATCAGACACAAAACGTAGAATGACGTGAACGACAGACATCTGTCTGTATGTCTGTATGTATGTACATACATCATATGTAAGCACTATCCAAACACAAGAGCCGCCATATTGTGCTGCGCAAATTGTTTATACAACAAAAATAAAAATAAAACACGTATAAAATTATTAGAAACATAACATCCAGCTAAATAACCAAAAACAAATACTCGAAACATGACTTAATGCAAATCAAAATGGCATACAGCAGTATATTTTTTTTTTTTTTAAATTTTATATTATTACAATTGAGAGCGAGAGCGCGTGCTACTGGCTCCAAACGTAAGCACAGGTATGTGAGAAGGGGGGGAGCCGAACGTGAGAGCGCGAGGGGCAACGCGCAAAACTGTATGTGCGCAACGGGCTTGTGTATAAGACGAATAAAAAGAGCAAGAGCACAAGAAACGGAAGGAAGGGAGCTTGCTATACAAGTACATGTTTTAGTAGCTGTACGTGCCTGTGTGTGTGTGTGTGTGTGTATTCGTGCGTGCGTATAAGATGATGTCTGTGTGTGTGTGTGTGTGTCGTTATGTGTGCAAGGAGAGGGTGAGCAGGAGAGCGAGCCGGAGCGGGAGTCAAGTATGCCTGCCGACTATTGATATTGACTCACAACTTTTTTTTACAACATGAGCACAGAGTGCACTGGAAATCGCAAGCGGTTAGAGAGGGAGGGGGGATGCTAGTTGAGAATTACAAAAAAAAAAAATAAAACAAAAAAAAAGAAGAAATGTACACAATGATGATCAGATGATTTTGCATGCTGGGTGGAGTGGGACGAGTGGGGGTATGGGGTAAGGTGATAAACTTGAGCTTACCTGCTTGCCGTCGACTTCGATATCGGCGACATAATTCTCAAACACGGTCGGCACATAGACCTCGGGAAATTGGTCTTTGCTAAAGACGATTAGAAGGCAAGTTTTACCGCAGGCACCATCGCCGACAATTACCAATTTCTTGCGAATCGTCGTCATTGGAGGTTCTGAAAGTGGCAGAGCAGATGCAACAACGCCGACGACGACGACGACGGACGATGCGTTGTGTTAAATATATTTGCGAAAACTGCGCGAGCTGGTTGAAAAATATCAATGTGAAAAAGCCATACACACACAGACAGACAGACACACACACACACACACACACGCACATACAACTCGCGCGCAGTGCCACAATCTCTCACACATACACACACACTTGAGTCATACAGTTTGGATGGCTCTCCCATTTGTTGTTGTTGTTGCCGTTTGCTGCTGACGATCTATAGAAAAGAAGAAGCATCAGCGAACAGCCGCATGAGGCTCTTTTTTTTTTATGACAAGCAGCCGTTGTTAGTGGTGGGGATTTGGGGGTTTCTTTTTGGCCAGTTATGTAGGTATGCTAGCAAATCAACTGCAATGCTTCGCCCTTGTTTGGGCGCCTCCAATTGTGTAGCACTTTCTTGCATACATTTATTTGTGTAAATGAAAGCCTCTTGTGCTGTGGTGTGTATTGGTATTCGTATTGGCAGAATCATCGCTGCTCCCATTTAGATATATATTTATTTACTTTTCTTGAATTCAATACAAATGTGTCTCGAGATAGTCCAATGGTCGCGTCATAGGTCTTTTTCCTCGCCCGCCACCAACTCTTCGTGCGTTTATTCCAAAAACATCATCATCCACTCGCATTTATGTACATACATACACATACATATGTTGTCTGTGAGTTAGATTGCATGGCTGTGTGTGTGTATGTGTGTCGCGTAGAGCTCTTTATATGTATATATATATATATATATGTGTGTGTATGTGTGTGTGTGGAATTTTTTCACTGCTCTTTCAACTTTTCTCACTTACAATATATATTATTTTTTTTGTAACACTGAGTACGAATTGGACACTTAATATGCTTACAAAATGGCACAAATATGTTGATTCTTATGCGTCTACCGTTATTCGTTTCGTATAAAATGTATTACAATTAAAAATTCGACGTTTTTTTTCTCATGCAAAATGACGATGAATTTTCTTGGTAGATGAACAACCAACGCCTTCGTGCACCGCAGTGTTGCACTTTGATTACAGTGTTGGAAAATTCCAATTAAACGATTACCTGAGCAGGATATACAAAATAAACAAAAACGATTTTGCCCTGCCATTTTTTCAATACGAAAATAGACAATTACATTAATCACGAATTAATCATTACTATTATATATATATATATATATATTTGTTATCATTTTGATAAAAGAACCAGAGTTGCATTTGTGTAGATTAAGGCTATTACAACTTTTATGATAATGCAGCAACAGTGACTGCTACTTTTAAAACATTTTCCATCACTAATCCGCTGCTGCTTCTTGTCGTTCAAGACACATGGCCCGGCATTAATAAACATGAGTTTGTTTTCTTAACAAGAGAAATATGAGCTTCAAATGTAATGAACGTGTACTAAAAGAAATTCAGACTAGCTTTAAACTAACGGAAAGTCGTAAGGCAATATCACAATCAGCGCCAACAACTGTCTGGCAACCAGTTCAGCAAAAGCCAAAAGTTGCCCTGTGCAATCCACAAAAAGTCCAAACGAAAGCAACGACAAATCAAAAGGCGCCAAATCAACCTGAAAATATAAAAGTAGCTGCTAATGATGTGAAATCCAAACCAATTTCGGAATCCAATCAAACAAACAAAGCTGAGAAAAACGCGGAAAATATAAAAGTCACTGTTAATACGAATAAGGAATCTAAACGAAATCCTGAGACAGTTCTTTTGGCTACAAACACAAATAGGCAAATGACCAAAGCTAAGAATAAGGCAAGAAAAAATATTAAAATTATAAGTGCTAAAATTAAGAATCAACAAATGGACACCAATCAAGAGAAAAACAAGAAAAACAACAAACAAAGTTTGAAAGTTCAGATGCCGCCAAAATCTGGAAAATGCAATGTTATTGTTAATCCAAATGGAGCCAAACGTAAGGCAACGGAGATTTCCCCTCCCCTTAATAAACGAGCCAAAAAGGAGATACAGCCCAAGGACAAAGGGTTGCCCAATCGGAAACAGACGCCCACTGAAGCAACAAATATAAACAACAAAAAGAACGCATCGAAAGCAATTGATAAAAAAAGGAGACCCAATAGGACTATCTCTGCTGAAAAGAAACGTGAATCCAATCAGAAAAATGCAACAAAAGCTGCAGACGTTAGAATAAAGGATAAAAGAGGTAGCTAAACTAGTTAAAAAAATATATTTATTTCTTCTGATATTTCTCTCTATATCCTTACAGACGACGAACTCTCGGAGGACTTCGATGAAGAAGCGTATGGTAAGAGTTTTCAGAATAAGTCACAAATGATATAATAAATCTCTTTTAACAGAAACCGAGAGCGCTGAATCGTTTGACCAGGCGGAGTATAGTGATAATTCCGAGTCCGAATACTCGTTGGATAGTGAAGAGGAGTTTTTCAGTAAGCCACAAGTATATGAATGTTCGGGCACAGAACAGATGCCGCTGGAGTTGGAGCAGCAAGACGAAGAGCAGATGTCTTGGCTTGGCCTAGATAATATGCCCGAGCTTCAAGCAGATGTTACCAAAATTTCGGTATTCGATGGAATGATGCCTGAACCCGAGCCGGAAATACAAAACCAAACTGAAGCAACAATTGGAGAAGATAACAATACGTTGTCGGATGCAGCAGATGAGGAGCAAAGCATGGAAATGAGTCCAGATCTGGCAGTTGATGATGATGCGATGCCAAGGACAGACATGGACGCTCAGCAGCTGGCAGCTGGCACAGAGGCAACCATGGGCTTCTACAGGGATGCAGTGCCGTCCGAGCTGAGCATATTTGAGAATAGCCTGAAGACGAACAATGTGCTGGCTGTGCTGAAGCAGGACATCGAGCTGTATGGCACCGTTATAGTCACATTGCTGTGTGGACGCATTACCATCAATGGGTATAAGGCGCGTCCCAAGGATCCGTTGAGCATCTACTCGCCCAAGGGCTTCAACTGGGTAGTCCTTGCACCCAGGCCCAACAAGAAGCCACCCAAGGCCAACGTCAACTGGGACGAGTTGAACGAGAGCTTTTCGCGCGCCCAGCTGGACAATATAATGGCCAACTATGATAGTCAACGGGATGCAATTGTGCTGCTGCAGCGCAATAACGGGGCACAGAATATGCTCGACACCTTTGCCAAGCACATGGCAGAGAATGTTTATCCGCTGCTGAATGCCACCAATCGGCCGCACTATGCCAGCGAATATGTGCTGAATTGTCTGATCCAGGCTGCCGACGGCCGGCAGGCCTTGCAGGTGCCCACCGTTTGGAGTAAGCTGGCGCTGCAGCCGCGCAGCCGCTGGATGGTGACCGGCGGTAAAGGCGTTGGCAAATCCACGCTGCTGCGATATCTGCTGAATCGACATTTGGAACGCTTCCCGCGCATGCTGCTCATTGATCTGGACATTGGACAGCCGGAGCTGTTTTTGCCGCAGACGGTTTCGTGTAGTGTGGTTGATGCGCCGCTGCTAGGACCCGGCTTCTTTCTCAACCGTCAGCCGGATCGTGCCTATGTGGTGGGCCACGTGAACATCGTCATGTGCGCAGAGCAGTATATGCACGCGGTGCGGCAATTGCTGGCCTATTGCCGCAGCAACGAGAGCTATGCCGAAATGCCTTGGCTCATCAATACGATGGGCTATAACAAGGGCTTCGGCCTGGAGCTGATGGCACTTCTGGTGGACTGTGTGCAGCCCACAAATCTGGTGCAAATAGCCAGCGCCAGGGTCATCAACAATTTTGATGTGCCGCTCACCAGGGAAGCCCTAGCGCAGGTGGTGCCCATTATCTACACGGCGGATGAGCACAAGGCTAGTGGAAATCTGTCCAACTATGCGCTGCACGAGCTGCACAGTGCTCTGCCGCAGCTGGAGCGGCATGAGCGTCGCTGGATGATGAGCGCAAAGGATGTGCGCTATGCCAATTTGTTGGCGCGCCTTAGTTCCGCTTTGCGCGGCAACGCCAAGCACCTGACGGACTGTCAGCCGGCGCAGGTCGATCTGGATGCGCTGCAAATAGTGCATCTCGTCTCTGAGGAATATACGCGCGAGGAGCTCGTAGCTGGCATGGAGGCCAATCTGGTTTATCTGTGCAAAGCAGCCGGGTCGTCGGGCGAAAAGCCCGCAGAGTGTCTGGGCATTGGTAAGCATCGCTTTGGGATCTCTGTGAATCCCATAGGTATCTCATATACTCTTTGCCCTTGCAGGTGTTGTGCGCGCCATCGACCATGAGGCCGGGAAACTTTATCTGCTGCCGGCCATGCCGCTGCAGCGTCTCGCCCAGGTTAACTGTTTGGTGCTGGGCGGCGATATGTGTCTGCCGCAGGGCTTTTTCAAGGATCAAGGTGCGGGCGTAGCCAACAATGTGCCATTTGTGTTCATTATAGACGACACCAGGTCATCCAAGAGCATACACCACATATATTTCCGAGCGCATAAAAATCTTTAAAGCCTATGTTAACAACTTTTGTACAAATGTATAGAGAAATGTGTATTAACTGGTTGCATTGTTTAATGGGACAGATCGTGTCTGCCCTTCAGTATGCGTCGCATCAGCACCCTGCGTCCCTCCGGGGTCGCCATGCGCGTCTCCCAGCCGTGCACATTGATGCGCTTCACTTCGCGGGGCTTTGGGAAATGGCAGCGCACCTTGGGCTTCAGCACGGCGCGGTCGAACGCATGCTTCTGGCGCACAAACAATGTTTGGGCCGTATTCAGCGCTGATACACAGGTTCTGCAAATGCATATTTAACTTAAGTTTCACTTATAATAACTAATTATTGTATTTACCTTTGCAGCAAACCTTGCAACATGTTAAGTAAGTTATGCGGCTGTGGGGTGACCGTATTCGAATATTTTAGGCACATTTAAAGCGAGCAGTGCTGTAAAGTGTGCACATGTCACACATGCAATCGATTGCATTTCGATAATGCTATCGCTGTGTGTGTATTTTCCCGTTAGCTGCCTGCGGTCACATTGCCATTCAAGTGCCGTCGTTTGCTCCAACAATAAAACGCGTTGGAGCCGTGTGTTTTGTATGTTGTTATACTAGAAAAGTGAAAAGCTCGCTCGGAAATCATGTAAAGACTTAACTTCACTTTAAGTAATTAACGCGCCGCGGTTGTAAATAAATAGAGGTTTTTAATTCGTGTCAGAGTTGAAAGTTGCAAGTGAAAAACCCTAAATACCATTCATCATATTTATATGTGTGCGCGTGTATATGCAAGTGCAGCTGCCGTGTGTGAGTAAATTTGTGTATGTGTGTATGTATGTGTGTGTGTTGAAAACAGAATTTTGGCAGCAGAATCTTCAACACAGCAGCAGAACACGAAATTGAAGTGCGTTTTATACATGAATTTGCGCAAAACTTAAATAGAAAACGGTGCAGCGCGCCAGCAGCAGCCGCAGCGGCAGCCAGAGGTAAGTTTGTGTGTGTGCATTTTATTTTTACTCTAACTGCAACCGTGTGTATATGTGTGTGTATGTGTGTGCATGTGTTTGCTTCTGCACGCTAATTAGCCTAATAAGCAGGCAAAATTGAAGGAAAAAAAAAAATGAGTAAACTCAGCATTTGCCTAGCCAAATATACAACAGGAAAATCGATTTTCCTGAACTTGCAATTTTCCATGCCTCACTGGCTTCATGGAGCCCCGGCAGCGCCAACAGCAGCAGCAGCAGCAGCAGCAGCAGCGGCGGCTGGCGGCAGCCGGCGATGCCAACGCCAACGGCGCTGTCGACGTCCGAATGGGGCATGGAACGCGTCTGGCAACGCGCCCCACAAAATGCGGGGCAACCTCATAAAGTATACATAAATTGAATTTCGAAACACGGAAGCGACGAGCGAGATGCGAGATGAGAGACGCCCCAACAAGCTGACATGTTGTTGTTGTTCTTCTTGCTGGCTGCTGCAGAGCTTATGTATGAGTGTGTGTGTGTGTGTGTGTGTGTCCATCAACAAATGTTGAATAAAAATAAAAAAAACGAAAAGAAAACTCGACCAGTTTTCATTTAACAGATTTTTGCAATCAGCAATGCGTTGGGAGCTGTCACAGCAGCAGCCCTTTTTGGAAGTCAGCCGCCCCGCCCCCCCCCTCAATAACTTACTCACATTACTTGCGTGCGTCTATCTGTGTGTGTGTGTGTGTGTTTTGATGACGGCACTCAGCCGCATGACGGCGACGCCAGCTGCGACTGCGACTGCGACGTACCCGCACTGATTTTAGCCGTGTGCGTGCCCGTGTGTGTGCCTGTGTGTGTGTTTACACCAATCCACGCACAAAGCATTAGCGAATCTTGTTCTTGTTGTTGTTGTTTTTTTTTTTTTTTTTGGCGGATGCTGCTGCTTGCTGTGTGCGTGGCCAAAAAAAGGGGGTTGTCCCTTTTCTTCCTGCACCCTGTCCCGCAATGTCTGCTTCCTTATTTGTCTTTTCCTTCCCTTGTACAGGGTGTTCGAGTGCCTGTGTGTGTGTGTGTGTGTGTGTGTGTGTGCCGGGCAACGAAATTACTTTTACGAGCATTTGGCATAGGTTGTGTTTTCCTATACCCATTCATTCACACACCCATTTGCCCCTCCCCCCTCATCTACGTCTCTTTCTCTCGTCGTTTAGTCGCATTTGATGCGTTTTTAATCAGACGGCGTCAATTTGTTGCCCGCTAATGGCGAGGGCGTCACTTGACATGGTTGCTGGTCGCCTGGTTCTGCCAGCCTGATGCGACTTGTCATCTGCACGCATTTCAATTTGAGCACCAGCTGTGTTTTATATAATTATACTGCCGGCAGGCATTGTCCGGTGTCAGGCATTTAAGCATGTATATATACCCTACAATTTCTTTTGGCTTTTTCTTATTCTTCTTCTTTTTGCATGCTGGCATGCCACATGCCCAGTTCTGTGTGCTTCTCTTGGCTGACTACCTCTCTGGCATGTTGACCATACATATGCCAAATATACAAGCCACTGCATGCCTTTTTGGTCAAATACCCTAACTATAAAAAGGTTCATTATATTCTTTGATTGTCTGGAAACTGTGCGTTCTGCGTGTGTGTTTTCCAGAAATTGCTACTACTTTTATATTTTAAGAGTTTGTTTCATTATTTTATTCATAAACCATTATCTTGTAGTCGATGAATATTCCGGCTGCTATATTTTCGGATGAACAATTTAAGTTAGATAAAACTTTATCTTAATAAATAATGTTTTGTATATAGATAAATTCTGCACGGTTCACTAATTTTCTTATAGAAAATATAACTTTAAAAGCAAATAGAAAATGCCCTAATGAATGTTTCAATTTACAATTATTTGATTCTGTAGTCGTAAAACGTTTAAGAATGACACGCAAAGAGGAATCGCAAAAGGAAATGCTCCAAATGCACGCGTTAAATAAAAGCAGACGCTTTCCAGTTGATTGATTCTTCAACAGAAATGGCAACGTTTAAGGATGACGTACAAAAGGGAATAGTATAAGTAAAAACAATAGAATAAAGACAGTGCTAGGAGTTGAGTTTTGTGCTTAAGATTCGTCAAGTTGTCTTCTCTAAAGTAGTTCTATGCAATAGTTTGATTTTCTTAAGAGCATTGCGCCTTTCGTTGTGTCTCGCTTAAGCTTTTACAAATTCGCTGTACGTGTTTTTTTTTTGTTCTTCTGCTCCATGGGCTGTTGGAGTACAAAAATACATATGGATCTATTCGTATAAAGGCAGCAGCTGTTGTTCGAACCGGCAACGCATTGCTGGAGCAACAACAACAACAACGAGAACAACAACAACGAGGAGGAGGCGTTGATGAAGTCGACAGCCGCTGTCGTTGTCGAGTTTTTGCTGTGCGTTGTTGTGTGTTTGTTTTTAGCATTTGTTTGGTTTTGTTTTCTTAATTTTTTTTTTTTGGAAATATACATACATATTTTGGAAAAAAAATAAATAAGAAAAAACATATTTAAGCGACAACAGCAACAACAACAACAACAACGACAACAACTTCAGTTGTCATCCATTATGCATGCAAGCGAACAGCTCGCGCATTGGATTCGCCGAGTTTGCGATTGTGGCGACTGTCAACGTTGCAACTTCAACTGCACCCAGCCGCACACCCGCCACACACCCGCCACACACACAAACTCTGGCCAAAATGGCGACCCTGCTCACACACAGGCACAGGCACATCTGCACTGTGTTGGCCCCACGCAAAAATATTTTTGTTGTGACTTGGCAAAAGTATCGCTCGCATTGGATCGCATTGGTTCGCCTCGGATTGCCATGGTGCAATGGCCGCAGTGTTCCCACTGGGTCCGGTCGCTCCGGTGGCTCCGTTCGTTTCGGTGGCTCCAGTTGCACATCGCGTTGCCGGCGACACTTTGCCACGTGATTACTAATCAACTTGGCACATTAATCAAATGCAGCGACAACTCATCGATAGTGAGCCCAAATATATTGTCATTTCATATACTCTTCCTAGAGGCTGCTATCATTTTGTCATGATGTATGTAACTGCGACTACAAAGAGTATATATACATATATGCCTAATTAGTTTTATTAGCCAAGTAGTCATATTGAGTAAACGAGTATCGTAATAGCATGTAATAAATAAATGAAGTAAGCGGAAGACAAAGTATGAGATGCTTAGAGTGAGAGTTAACCAAGTCAGTTTGCTTTAGGAACTGCTAAATATCGCTGTTAAATAATAAACATCATGTTATCAATCCGTTAAGACTCACTTGACTTTGTGAGAATCGCATAGAAGAGCGATATAAAAAAGCTAGACGAAGGAAAAGAGTGAAAGAACAGGGAAGCATGTGTGGGGCAAAGAGATCGCAAGCGACGGAATGAGAGGGAGAGTTTTGGGAAGGGAGAGGTTGTCGAGCACTCTTCTTTCTACTTTGTTCCAATCGTTGTTATTGTTGTTGTTGCAGTCGTTGCGGCTCAATTTCCTTAAGTTGTGTTTGTCTTAATTTCAAATCAAATTGAACCCAAATTGGATTGGGCAGGGGGGGGGGGGGCGTGGCACGGGCCTCTGCAAGTCATGCCAAAATAACAACATTGTCGTTGTCGTTGTCGTCGCCGCCATCTCGTCATAGTCCAATTACAGTCAATTAAACTCTATCACAAAATTGTGAGCATCACGCTAAGAGCTGCATCTGCGTCGCGACGCCAGCTGCCGAGTTGCTGGCTGATTCGATTTTCGGGGTGTTGGCTCGGCGGGTTATTTGGTTACGCCGTGCCGCCCGGCTGACTGCCTTTCGCGTGCGTGCCACACCGTGGGTTACGTGCCGTTGCAGCTTTTAGCAGCTGCCGGTTAGCACCTCTATATTTTTTTTTTTTTTGTCCAACTCTCGCTTTGCAGCTCGCATGGCATTCCGGCTCATTGCTGAAGATTTCTTGAAGCTCGTTGCGGATTGAGCAATCGCCGGAAATTGGGTTACACTTCAGCAGCTAGCACAAACTTTGTTATCTTGTCGTTTTGTGCATATCTTAAAAGTGTTATCATATCTGCCCCAGTCCGCATGAATATGCATATCACAATAAGTAGATAATTGTTTAAAACTTTCAACTCATATTTGTGCCGGCTTTTGGCTAAAGCCAGTGGCAAAACTAGAACATTTGATTTTAATTAGATGACTTTAACTTTTATAATAGGTTAAAAGGCTTGAATTGAGTTGAGTTTATAAAAGTGGGAGTTCCACATGAACTAGATATATACGACTTGGATATATATAAATTATGGGTCAGTCGAAGTACTTACTAAAACGTGGCGTAAGTATTTTGACATGTTCTTGTTTAGGCTTTCACAACGAATCGGCTACTTTTGAGTCCGAAAACAGATAAGATAAGAAAGATATATATATACATTCTGCTTTATTTAATGTGTTTTGGGAAAGGTTTGGATTGAAGGTCTGTAGGCAATT